TGAGTTGAGCGTCGAGATTTACTCGTTTTGAGCATTTTGAGCGACATGATTTACAAAACTGGCATTGATGCGCAAATTCCCAAAAGGGAGGGGCTCCTGAAATTTGAAGGAAAGTTGAAAATGTTGAACTTTCTGCAAATATTCCCGTCACACCAACCAATCAGGGGCCGTGTTCTGACAGTGACGAATAAAACAGAAACAGACGTGAACTTTTAACATGGAGGAACACTCACTGTTGCCGTGGGAAACGAGACGATGTTATACAAGAGCAACACGAGCCAGAGGCCAGAATAAACTCCACAGAGCAGGAAGTGCACCAGACTCTGTCCCCCTCTCCTTTATTCTGGTCCAGGTCTCAGTCCCAATCTGGTCCCGGTCTGGTCCCGGTCTGGTCCTGGTCTGGTCCAGGTCTCAGTTCCAATCTGGTCCCGAGCTCAGGTTGTTTTCACACCGCTAGATCATCCGCACCGGGCAATAAAATTGTTATTAGGTAGTAAATACACTCCAGTGTGGTGCTTTCACACCGACAAATGAACCAAAACTGGTTCAATTGACGTGTCTCTGTTTCCTGGTAGAACAGCGATACTCCAGTTATCAACACCACAGGCCGTCCTCATCTCAAATTATCACCATGAACTCATAAAACAGCAACATGTTGAACTTTGTACAAACTCATCACATCAGCCCAGAGTTCAGGTAACAGCAGCAGCCAACAGCGCTCACAGTAGCGCAGCTCCTCAGGACGGGGCTGGGGTCTGGACCTTGGTCTGTTACAAGCTCGATGGTCAGATGGTCCGGAGGCTCTGTCCTCCATGTGCTGGTTCCAGACGGTGGCGAGCAAGACCAGTGCGCAGTGGACTGGGTCTGAGCGGGTACGTTTCATCGTCTGCGCGCTGGTTCCGTGCGGGGAAAGTGAAAATGTTCTGTGGACTACAGGTCTGTGGGGGCTGCTCTGGTCCTCCACGCTGAAGAACCGCGGCTGGTTCCAAGGTGGTGCAGCATCTGGACAGAAGCGTGAATCCAGTTTGGTTTGTTATATGTTGTTCTGAGCGTCCGTCCTCCGCGCATTTGGTTCATCCCGGGGAAAGCGCTTCCTCAGGTCGAGGCTCCCCGCTTCCCTGCTCTCGCTGGTTCAGGACTCCGGTTTGGATCTAGTCCGACTGTATTTCTCACACGAGGCTAAAAGCAGGGACTCTTTAAAGTTGACTCAATTGAATAGGCTATTGCCATAAAATTATTTGGTTAATTAAAATAACAAATGCTGGTTGGTTCATGATCGGGGGAACACCGGGTCGTCTCTGTGTGTGCAGGTCCTGAACAGACGTACACACTCATAATTTTGACTCACTCTGGAGCCACATGTTCACACACTGGTTCTTGCTCTGATCTTCGTGTGTTATATTTTCTGTTTTGGCCATTGTTGGTAAAATAATTTGAAAATGAATCGCGGCTGCGTCTGGACAACAATCTGTTACTGCGCTGGAGACGTACAGCGCGTCACTTCAGGCAGAAGAGACGCGTTTCTCCCATGATGCATTTGGAATAGTCCATCCGTTTGTCCACACTGTCTATGGTTTGGACCCGGGTTCGCGTTCACACCAGAGGAACCGCACCAAAGTTGGTCATTTGGTGCGGATTCAAGTGAACTGAGACCACCTCTTTTTTGAGGTCTCGGTCGCTTGATTTGATCAGGTCCGAGTCCGATTGACACTTTCACACCAACGCAAACGAACCAAACTAACTTTTGGTTCGAATGGATCGTTTGGTGCGCACCAAATACTGTCGGTGTGAAAACACCATAAGACAAGGTTGTGTTCCTCACACCAATGCACCACTTCATCAATTTCTGTCTTGTAGCCGATGACATCTGTGCTTTTATAAAGTAAACTAAGAATAGCTGTGTCATCAGAAAATGTAAGTATATAGTTGTTTACCTGTTTACTCCTGCACACATTGGTGTACAAAGTGAAAAGAAGAGGTGAGCTAACACAGCCCTGTGGTGCCCCAGTGCTGACAATCTGAATATCTGACAGTGTTGAATTACCCTTAACTTGTTGCTGTCTTCCTGTGAGGAACGCCCAATACCACTTAATAATGTGACTGTTAACACCAGCTCTAACAGCTTCTTCAACAAGATGCCCGGTAATCTTGTATTAAATGCTGAACTAAAATCTACAAACAATATTCTGGCAGATGATGAAGGATCCTCTAAGTGTTTCAGTATGAAGTGGGCAGTAGTTACAAGAGCATCATCAGTACTTCTGTTACTGCAGTAGGCAAACTGATGGGGATCTACACGACCCACTACCTCCTCCCTCAGAAACCCCACCACAACACGCTCAAATGATTTCATAGTCAATGATGTCAAAGCCACAGGCCTGAACTTATTATTCTCCTTAGGACAGGTTTTCTTAGGTACAGGGGTGATAACAGACTTTTTCCAGAGCAAAGGTATATCCCCTGTTTGTTCCTGTTGTTACTGCATTTATTCCCCTTGGGGTTTACCATTACCACAGCCAAGGCCAAAATTCTGATAAATGGGCACATATTTAAGCACACAAAGCCATAATGCGTGCCATAAAAATGTAATTACACAGAAGACTGAAATTGCGTCTCCAAACTCTAATGTGGAGTAAGTTGGATAAATTTGACACAAGAGAACATGAAGTACACATCGATGTCAGTAGTTACTGACAAGCTAAATCCGACACTCAGCTTGACAACTAACTATTGACAATTGAACACAACATACAGACAGGCAGCGGGCTACAGTTCTGAACACTGAATATTTTTTTATGGTTTGAGGTAAATTGTTGTGCAAAACAAGGTGCAACATGGTTGTGCCAGACAAGCTTGTTCAAGGTGAAATGCAGAAAGGTGCAGAGTGCAGAATAGCAGCATGTAACTAACCCCTGTGCAAATTGTGCGTCTGACTGTAATATCAGTATAACCTGAGTTGTTAGACTAATGATGGGCTTTTTAATCTTTAGAAAATTCATGAAGGAGAGAGGTGTCGCATCTGGGGAGTGCCTTGATCGGTGGACATTGCAAACACTTACGAAGTCCAGACAACATGATGGTGCAAGCTGAGGACTGTTTGTGCTGATGGACAGTATTGTTTTTAAAACCACAAGCTTCTTTGTTAGGGTAGTTACACAGTGTGGTTTTTAAATTAATGTGTTATTTTTTTCCATAATTTTTATTTTTCCCTCCAGAATGCTGAGGCACTCCTGAAAGATGCTGATCCTGCTATGGTCCAACAGGAGCACATGTTAGGAGTGAGAAAATACATTCGGCAAAGACTGATTACCCAAATGACATAATGTTTCATAATGTTTAATAATACAGTATGTTCCTGTTTGTTGGGGAGCACGGACCGTATATATGAATGGACGTAGCTAGCTTGTAGCTAGCTGGTCTTAAAATGTTTGTATGAACATCGCTTTACATGATCTTGAATTTTTCTTTTCGTCATTTTATCCTTCAAAAAATTCCTATTCCTAGGCTACTGGCCTAATGTTCTGATGTTCTTTAGTAAAAGATCGTCCACACACTTTTATTGTGTTCTTTAAGTTTTACTTCAGCGCGTGCTCTACACTCCTACAGTTGCCGGGTTCAAGGGACTCAAGGGCCACAGCTTTGAGTTAACTGCACATTATCTCTGATGAGTGCCACCTACTGGACAACAACACTAGTAACATACAATAAATATGTTCCAGACAGAATTTGTTAAATTGCACATATTATTTACATACATGTACATTTTATTTAAATCAATCTTATTCTCTACGTTATCACAGTTAAATAAACACTTTAATTCTGACACTGAAAAGCAAATAGCTTCAAATGGTTAGACTATACTGTATGTGTGGGTGTGAATAGCACTTTTCACTATGAACACCTGTGTACAGTGCCACCCGTACACTATTTACACCCTGGGTGTTAATAGCATTATTGACTATTTGAGACCTGGGTGTAAATAGCATTTTTGTCTAGGAACACCCGGGTGCCCTTCTGTGTGCCACGATAAATACACCCGGGTGTAAATAGCAACAATGGCTATTTGTCCTATGTGTGAATAACAATGTTAGCTACACCCTGGGTGCAAATAGCATCTGCCAATAAATAAATAAATAATGAATCCATTTGATGATGAGTTTTTGAAATATAGACCAAGGTTTATTCTTGTTACAGCAGATATGGACAGAGCCTAGGCCTGTTCTGGCCACACACCAACAGCCTCTTCCCCTACCACATCTCGCCCCATTTCCCAAGGATCATCCCCATAATGATACAAAGCACCAAGTTTATAAAGCCTGAGACAACAAGAGGACACACACATTTCAAAGTGAGAAGGTGACGACTCCTGCTGAGGTGTGGCCAGATGTGTTTGATCTGATTTGCTCCATATTCATGTATTTGTCACTTCTTGACAAGATCAGGAAGTAAAAGGGAACAGAAGTATTTACATTGAAGGGTCTTTCTAACAAACCAAACGAGTTTTAGTTACAAGACCAAATGTGTTTCTAAAAGATAAACTAATCACTATTTTAATGTAATCAATCATAATCAATATTTTCCTGTGGGGGTCTGGTCTCAGGTACAAATCACATTCATTTACACAAAGACAGATGGCAGGAGCTTTGTGGTTCAGTAGTTTTCTCATAAAACCAAATTACACTTCCAGTAACTGCACCTGATTCTGTGAAACCAGGTGACCAGCCTGGTCTAACCACTAATATGTGCTGTTCTCTTATTCCACTTCAAGTAAAAAAAAAATCCAGATAGATATAAATAGAAGTAGGAGAGTAAACAGCACATTAGTTTTGTGTGTGTGTGTTTTTTTTTTTTTTTTGCTCGACACAATTGTTACTATTCATCAGCAAAATCAGGAAACATGAACAGGACTAGGGCACGTGACATGAGCTTTTGCCAACACCACAAACACCAGTCATCATGACGTGTAAGTTCAGGGTGAGTCAGAAGATTAAAATCCCTCTGTGTTTCTGTCTCAGCTCAGATCAGAGGAGGATTTCTCATGTGCAGGACTCAGCTCCTCAGACTCTCTCCAGAGACTCTGCTCTTCTAGAAGCTTCACTCATCACTGAGACCTGCACCTGAACACACCTGAACACATCTGAACACGGTGAGTTCTCTGAGTTTGTACATCCTGAAAAACAGCAACATCCTGTTTTTTAAGGGATATATATATATATATATATATATATATATATATATTATATATATATATATATGTGTGTGTGTGTGTGTATATATATAATATTTTTAACAGATGTTTATTTTTAGTGTCACACAAACAAATTCAATATATTGTAATTACATTGCTTAAAAATACAAAGAACTTACTAGTACTTACAGCAGTTTTTAATCAGAACCTTTTAAGATAGTGACTCCAGACTCTAAACTTCTAGAGTGTTCCTTCTCCATGTATTGATCAAAATATCCTGTGTAATACACATCTGGAAAGATGATGGTATCAGGTGGTATAGAGGGAGGACTCGGACACTTAGTAATGTCTTTGAATGCTTCATTAATAATTTGAAGAATTGACTGCACTTTTCATTTTTTATACTGGTAAGTTCTTGGTAATATAATGTATATAATGTATATCAAAGATATGTTTCCTGTGCTCTATGACACCATCAGTTAGTTCAGAGTCAAACCCAGTACAAGCCGTTCTTCTGGTGTACAAATGTTGTGTGTCCAAAAATAATGTGCTTTGAAATTGGTCCAAAAGGTCCGGTAAGAGCAGTTCATACACTGGGGTGGTCTCCTGACAACCTTCTGGATGGCCCTGACACACTGTGTGACAGGTGCAACACAGATGATCTGGTACAACTGCTGTGGTACAAAACCTTCCTGAAGCAACTGTGTCTTTTAGTATTTAGCAGCTCCTTGACGACCTGATCTACCTTTGTGCTGTTTGACGCAATAAATAACTTCATGTGATGTTTTACCATCTGTGCCTGCCCTGCCCAGTGACTTCCACATCCTCTGGAGCACCATACAGAACAACATGAGAAATGCTTGAAAAATTTAAACCCATCCCAAGGACAGTAGTTGTAACAACAACTTTACAGTTGCCTTCTCCACTTAAGGGCCGTTCACACCAAAACGTCAAAGCGTCCAGTTTCTAGGTAAAGTCGATGTGTACGTGCGACTAGAGCGTCCTGCGTTTTTGTGGTGTCAGCGCGGCGCGAATCTGGCGTCGACGCGGCGTGTCTTGAGCGTTTTGGCGTCAGCGATCTAGACGCGCGTCCAAGGCGTCAGCGTCAAGAATTTGAAAATGCTGAACTTTTCGCGTCAGACGCGCCGCATCGACCAATCAGGGACGAGTATCCAGAGACGCAGCGACGTTATTATCAGGAAGCAAGACTCGAGAACCAGAGCGAGAACCACAAACATGAGCGGAGCATGAATATATACACCACAATCACTGAGCTGATCGCGAGAACTACACCAGGACTGGACCAGGACTAAACCAGAACTAGACCAGGACTAAACAGGGACTAGACCGAGTCTAGACCAAGACTAAACACGGACTAGACCCTGAATAGACCGGGACTAGACCGGGACTAAACCAGGACTGATCCAGTGTCATTAGCGGAGTATAAATATATATACACCCCAGTCGTCGACCCGATCTCCTCTGCTGATGTTTTATGTCATAAAAACTCTAAAGTCTCTCAGTCTGGTCTGACATCGTTTCGGCAAAAGACCAGGACCGGGCTCTTGTTTCCAGGCCAACGGACGCGCGTCAAGTATTTTTCTCCCGTTCGTCCACGGCGTCAAAGACGAGCGTCGGGGGCGTCTAAACTCAAATGCAAAGGCTCCAAATAGAAGCGTCAAGGCGTTTTTTGACACTTTGGTGTGAACGAACCTTTAATGATGACAGCACTCTGCTCTTATTTTGTGGGAGTGTTTTGCGGTGACAAATGCCTATAATCATGTCCTCTGCTTTGTGCATAGAGTCTCTACCAAACCAACAATCTTCACCCAGTTCAGCTTTTAGGTAACAGAAGACTCTTCCAACCTCTTTTAAAATCCTACAGAGAACAGGGGACATACTGGTTCCTTTTTCTTGGACTTCCTGTACTGTCCAGTCCATACAGTCCAGCTGAGGTCCTGGTACAGGAGTCAGTCCAAGTCTGGCGTTGGTCCGGTTTGGGCTTTCAGTCACAGTGACCGCGTTTTCCAGATGAAACTGCCTCATCACTCTGTCTCCTGACTGGAGGGTCATTATTAGGGTCATTATGGGGGTACCTGTGACACAACACCATGTCATACTCTCATATATAAACTACTATAATTCATTTAATTCATCTACATTTTATATCAAATCAAAATGGTTCATGTTTAGGACCATCAAACAAAACAATATAGGTTCAGAAAGAGTAAATAATAAATTGAATACCACTTTGCTTTGACAATGGACCCAGTCTGTTCACCCAGTCTAGCAAAGCACTTCCTGAAAGCACTTTTTCCTTTGTCAGCCAGCCCCCTGGCAGGAAAAAAGTAGAACAAAACATTAATACGATAGATCTCCATGCTAAATGAAATGTAGCCATACAACAACACACTCTCATTACATCACTCATCAGCTTGTAGCTTCTGTGCTCATGTGGTCCACGGACAGCAGTGAATTTCTATCCCACACTGGATGTGGAGAATCATTTATTTTTTATTTTAATCACTTTGACTAAACGTTACTACATTTAAGGATTTACTGACAGTGACCCAGTGCCCAATAAGAGCAACAGATCTGTGCAAGACCCGACACTACTGTATGCATAATTAAGCCAATTACTGATAGAACAGTTTATGTTACAGTAAACAAATGACCATTAACTTTTGACAAGGCCAACAACAACAAGTTCCACCACATCTGTGGGTTACTGTTGTATGTTAAGCACTTTGGTCACAGTAAGAGCCTCCATTTGCTTTTCCACTGAAAATCTCCTCATCACTTTTGACTCCAGTCTGCACGGTGATAAGTCCGAGTTTAGAGGCCTCTGTTACCTGCTGCTCCATCAGTGCAAACAGAGGCAACAAGACGACCACAATGGGATGTTCGAACATGGACATCTTCTTTGCTACAAGCAGAGCCATCTGACAGATTAAAGGTTGTATGGAGGATTTTTTTTGTTTCAAATTGTCAATGATAGTATTATAGAGGTGCAGTTGCCTTGTAATTATGATGACCAAAAAAAAAGAGAATAAAAATTCATCAACTCTGGACGTGGTGGGGCTAAACATTTGCCAATAGATAACGACACTGCCTCGTTATCTGTGAGCTGACAGGCTGTCAATCAAACTCCCTACGTTTCTAGTGTAACTGACTTGCCTGCGCCGCCGGTACGTGGTTTACGTACGACTGTCACACAGTCCACAGACGCAAGACGCACAGACGCTGTTTACTCCACCAACGCAACAGTTCTTAGCGGCTTTTTTGACCTATATCTTCCTCGCAGTTCGCACAAAGTTTGTTGCAATGACAGACAAGAATCCAGGAGCAGTTCGCTGCAAAAGAAAATCTGTTTTTGAGATCGCTGAAAGAAGAAGACAAGGGGAAAAGCAGCGAAGCCAAACTAAGGTGATTCTTGTAGATTAATTCCAGCGATGGCGCGACTGAAGCAGACGAAGAGTCTAAAGACTGACGCACTGGTCCACAAATTACTCCTGGACAGGGAAACTTCTGCTTATTATGAAAACGTACTTTATTTCCAAGAGCTGGACAAATGTTTTTCAGGACACAAAAGCGATATCCTATAAAAACGTAATTTTCAAGGCAAAGAAAGAGTCCGCTTGCTGCTGCGTGTTGTAGTTAGTTCATTCGCACAGAATCTCCGCGCACTCTTCTCTGCACCCCTTTCCTGCTCCTGTCCCCGCTGCCCGATCCGCTCTTCCCCCTGCTCCTCACTTCTCCGGGCACGGAATCTCCTGCGCACCTCTCCCCCTCTCCCTCTCCTCTCCCCTCTCCTCTCTCCTCTCTCCCTCCCTCTCCTCTCTCTCTCCTCTCCTCTCTCCTCTCTCCTCTCTCCTCTCTCCTCTCCCTGCTCCCAGCTCCGCTCTTCTCCCTGCTCCTCACTTCTTGTCCGTGCACGAAATGTCCGCACACCCGCTCTCCCCGCTCCTCACTTCTCCGTCTTGCCTAACCAACATTGTAGTTAGTTGTTTACAAGTCATGTGCAGTGCACTGGCTGTAAACAAACCTGTTTCTGGCGTAAAGAGGAGGCGGGAGGAGGCGTTTCTACGTAGGGAGCTGTAGGGGAGGGGGGGTGGTTTCACGCATGCGCAACATTTGAAAAAGGACAAACAGTCGCTGGATTTCTCGTTCCTTGGAAAATCCTCTATACAACCTTTAAGTTTTTCCCAAAGCCGGTGGGAAGCAATGTGACAACGTCTCTGTTGAAAAGAAAGGCCTCTCGAGCTGTCAGCTGCTGTGGTGTTAATGACTCTGTTTGTTTTTGGTCATTTAAGACCGATTTTACAACAGAATGAAAGAAACTTTTGGCTCTCCAGTGCACCATCTTAATTGAAAACTGAGGGGAACTTCTGCCACCAAAGAGTGATGCAGGCAAAGAATACGTTTTTTCAAAGAACAAATCAGATTGCATGACCATGTTTAACCGGGCCGATCTGATAGGGCAGAGGACATGGGGACCAGACTGACATGGATCTGTGTAACAAATGCAGAGAGATATCCTTCTGGATTTCCAGGCAAGGGATATACTGCATCAATACATTAGTGATGTCTGAAACAATGGAAAGAAAATAGTTTTTTGCCTCATTAATTAAATTTGTGTTTTTTCTTTCCATCTAGGAGAAATATGGCTTTGGAATTTAAAAGGAAAATTGAAGAAAGCAAGAAGCTAGACAACGGACCTCCTGCCCGATACCAGCTACAGCTAAGAGGATATAATCTGGACAAAGAATCAAATGAAGAATCTAAACTGTGGAGATTTACTCTTGGAGAATATGATCCACGACATCTGAACAAGACCATCCTCCTGGTGGGAGCCACAGGGTCAGGGAAGTCCACTCTGATCAACGCTCTGGTCAACTTTCTGATGGGGGTGGAGTTTGAAGACAAAGTCTGGTTTGAGGTCATCACAGATGAGAAGAACAAACCTCAGACTGAGAGTCAGACCTCTGCTGTGTCTGTTTACAACATCTATGGATTCGAGGGAACTAAAGTCCCTTATTCTCTGAGCATCATTGATACTCCAGGATTCGGACACACAGAAGACATAGAAAATGATGATATGATTATTCATTTACTCAAGGGTCTGTTCTGTATCCCTGAGGGAGTGGACACAGTTAATGCTGTGTGTTTGGTCATGAAGGCCTCAGTGAACAGACTGGACGAGAGGATGGCCTACATCTTTAATTCCATCACTTCTCTGTTTGGCAAAGACATGGAGCAGAACATTGTGATGATGATGACTCACTCAGGTGGAAAAAAACCCAAAGATGCTCTCAACGCTCTGGAAGATGCAAAGATTCTTTGTGCCAGAGACGCAAAAAATGAACGAGTATATTTTCAGTTTGACAACTGCCAAAAAGAGATGATTGAAGATGACAGTGATGATGAAAAAAATTCAAACATGCATTTACAAATTCAAACAAGGGAATGAAGAAGTTCACAAAGTTTCTGGAAACAGCAAAACCTCAGTCTCTGAAGACGACAGTGAAGGTGATTAAAGAGAGGATCAGACTCACGGCCTGCATCCAGAACCTAAAGGAACGAGTGAAAGAGACGGAAATGAAACAGGAAGCAATCAGAAAGAACAAAGAACAACTTCAACAATTTAACCACGAGATGGAGAAGAACCAAAACTTTAAAGTTTCCATAGAAGAAACCTACAAAGAAAAAGTGGAAATAGACGCCTGGTGGGACACCAAAGCTGTCACCTGTAATAACTGTGAAGAGAACTGTCATTACCCAGGATGCACCTGGGCCTGGGGTCCAAGCTGGTGTTACGTCATGAAGGACGGGAAATGTACTTCCTGTTCTGGGAAGTGTCCAGCGGACGCTCATGTGAAAGAAAAGTGGAGATATGTGACTAAGACCAAAACAGTGGAAAGGACCATTGAAGAAATGAAGACCAAGTTTGAAGAGAACAAAGCAGAGAGTGAGAGGAAGACCAGTCTGCTGCAGGATCTGGAGAAGGAAATGTCCAACCTTCAACAAGCCAAAGACCAGAGTCTGAACGAGGCCTTTGAGTTAGTGGAGCAGCTGGAGAGGATCGCTCTGAACGTGGACTCTGTGTCCACCTTCATCCATCTGGAGTTTCTCATTGAGAAGATGAAGGAGAGAGGAGATGAAGAGAAGATTCAGAAACTGGAGAGAATGAGAGATCGAATGACTAAAAATGAAAAGGCTGCAGCCAGATACTTCAAAAAGATGCGTGAAAAGTTCCGTGGTGAAAATTCATTTTAAATTGGGTTAATTTAGGTGACATTTCCTGTTATTCTTCCTCTTTACATGATATTTACAGACAGTAGGTCGGCATAATGCATCACATTCTGGCCTGTAAACAAAGTAAACTACAGCTATCAGCCTTTAGTGGTAAATGTGTGCACACCGCAGTAATATTTTTTATGCGTAAATGCCGATCATTCACACCTCTAGTCAGCTCATTCACACATCAGTGCAGGTCCAGCAATGTATATAAGACCTCTAGAGTCACTTTACACTAGGCTAATGTAAGAAAACAGACTGTTCATGTGGGAACTACAGCAGATGAGAGCTAAACAATGAGAACGAACCAAAAGTAGCTCTAAAACCAACACATTTGCAACACTCAGTGCTCACACAGGCTCCTTTCAGATCACAGTCTGTAGTAACAAGTGTCTGATTGTTCATAAAAAAGAATATAATCTATCATGTTGACAGCAGCTGTGTGTGTCCTCCCTCTGGGACAGTCCTCTGTCTGTGGGACTTTGATAAAAACAGCAGTAGTTTTGTTGTTGGCACAAACTGCTCTGAAGTTAACATTTATTTAAAACTAAAAATTGATGCTTGATTTATTTATCCACTTACCATCCACCCGTCCGCCTATATATATATATATATATATATATATATATATATATATATATATATATAATATATATATAATATATAATATATATATATTTGGACTAAACCAGGACTCGACCGGGACTAAACAAGGACTAGACCGGGAGTAGACCGAGACTAGACCGGGACTAGACCGTTATTAGACCAGGACTAGACCGGTATTAGACCAGGACTAGACCGGTATTAGACCAGGACTAGACCGGGACTGATCCAGTGTCATTAGTGGAGTATAAATATATATATGCCCCAGTCGTCGACCCGATCTCCTCCGCTGATGTTTTATGTCATAAAAACACTCTCTCAGTCTGGTCTGATATTGTTTTGGGAAAAGACCAGGACCGGGCTCTTGTTTCCAGGGCAACGGACGCGCGTCAAGTATTTTTGTCCCGTTTGTCCACGGTGTCAAAGACGCGCGTCGGGGGCGTCTAAACTCAAATGCAAACGCGTCCAAATAGAGGCGTCAAGGCGTTTTTTGACGCTTTGGTGTGAACGAACCTTAAGAGAGAGGGAGACAGGGAGCAGTGTGGGAGGGGCCATTGAGTGTAGATCTGACACTTGGAGGACAATTTTGCTACTTTTAGTTTTTTTTCTTGAGAAAACATGCCTAAAGCTCAGAAGAATTAGTATTATAATAATAACAATTATTATTATTATCATATTATTATTATTATCTTGGCACAAATTTGGCAATCTTGTGCTGAATTGTCATTTTGTTTACACAAAGGCTCACAGCATCAAAACCCTTTGTCCTAGAGATCTGAAATTCTACACAGTTGTTGCCAACAACTTGAACAATGAGTGTAGTGAGTCACAAATGCCTAGAATGAAGTATGCCCAAGCTAAGGCCTTTACAGGAGAGATGTTTGTTCCAGGTTGTAGCACCTGTCGACCCTGGGCAGGTTCAGTGATTGATTGTATTTAACTGACCTTAACTCAAAACTGTTTTTTCTGCAGACCTGCAGCATGTTTTGGGTTGATGAGGGAAACCAGAGCATCTGATGAAAACCCATCCAGACACAAGGAGAAACATGCAAACTCCACACAGAAAAAAAAAGTGACATTTCCTAGATATAAATGAACACTAATTGAGACCAAAGTGGTTTTCTCATTCTTCTCAAATGTCTCTCCTAAGAAATAAGTCTCACAGTGACTATTGTATGAGTTCTCTAAGTTCTCTCACAGCCTCACTGTCTCTGTTAGAAAAATTAGATATGTTGTGCTGCTTTCAAATATGTCTCAATTTGACTTAGAAGCACTATCTCAGTTCCGTCTCTCACAGCTCATTATTTGAGTTCTCAGATTTGTCTCATAACAGCACAGTGCCTGAGTGGCACTCATGTCTCACAGCAAGAAGGTTCTGGGTTTGATTCCTGAGTCACCTGGGTTTTTCTGTGGGGAGTTTGCATGTTTCTCCTTGTGTCTGGATGGGTTTTCTCCAGATGCTCTGGTTTCCCCCATCAACCCAAAACATGCTGCAGGTCTCCAGGAAGAACAGTTGAGAGCTCAGGTCAATTAAATCCAATCAATCAATGAACCTGCCCAGAGTCGACAGGTGCAAATCAGCACTATTGTTACAACCTGGAACAAACATCTCTCCTGGTTAATGTAGGTTGTGCACTGTCCCTGTCTCATTAAATAAATAAACATATAATACATATAATATATGTGTGTGTATATATATATATATATATATATATATGTATGGCAGGGAAAGCATACATGGAGCGACATAACCAAGTGGCGGGCATAGTGTACAGAAACATCTGTGCAGAGTCTGGGCTGGAGACCCCAGGATCAAGGTGGGAAACACCTCCAAAGGTTGTGGAGAACGACCGAGCCAAGATCCTGTGGGACTTCAGATACAGACTGACAGGATGGAGATGGACCAACCAGACATAGTGGTGGTGGATAAGAAACAGAGCAGAGCCGTGGAGGTGGAACATCACAACACCAAGAGATGGTAATATCAGGAACAAGGAACACGAGAAGCTAGAGAAATACCAGGGGCTCAAGGAGGAGCTGGAGAAGGTCTGGAAAGTAAAGGCATCAGTGGTGCCTGTGGTGATCGGACACTCGGGGCTGTAACCCCCAAACTGGAAGAAACTACAACAGATACCAGGAAAACAACAAACATCTCAGACCAGAAAAGTGCAGCACTGGGAACAGCAAAGATACTGCAGAACTGTCAAGCTCCCAGACTCTGGTAGACGACCCGAGCTGAATGAGGGTGAGAGACCAACGGTGAGAAACACATTTATATATATATATATATATATATATATATATATATATATATATATATATAAACATATAATAATATAATAAAAGTCTCAGATTCATCTCATGTTATTCTCTTTAATTCTCCTTCAAAATAACCAAGACATCATTGAGATCAGGGGCAAACAATTATGAGATCTCCTCTGTTTATCCCACTTCTTAAGTGTTGCTCAACTGATGATCTCAACTCAGCCTCCTTTGTCTTTGTGACATTTTGTCTCTTTTTAACTCATCTCTTGCTCCTAAGGCACCTCAGGAGAAGTAACCCAGAAACAAATGATGACAGAATGATACAAATACGAGAAGCTCAAATTGATCTCAAGAGATGAGATTGAACAGCAGATGAGCAACACATTTTTCCAGTGGGAAATCATTATGTTAGATAAGACACTAGAGTGTACAGTCTACGGCAGGGGTGGGCAAACTAGGGCTCGGGGGCCGTATACGGCCTTTTAAACCTTTTAATCCGGCCCGCCGAACTTGAAGATATTACAATAATAAACCTTGTTGATGTTTTATTTGTCATGCATTTCCAGCGTTTCCCAGTAGATGGCGCACTATATACACATTGAGGTGCGGCGTATTATGTTGGCCGCAATGCTTTATGGGAAAGTGTTCTTACAGGAGTTATTCAGACCATGAGTGAAGTAGTGGTGTTCAAGATATAAGCTGCTTCCATTTTAAATTGGTAAAAATAAAACATAGAAAACTTGAAGACTCTGAGTTGTAGATGTCAGTTTATGCAACTTCATAGTGTCTGGTTTTACTGCACTTACAAGTGTCTGTCTGTGATGTTACGGCATTGGCTTTGGCTTTGAGTTATTTTTAGTCAAATTTGAAAACGGTGAGTTCATGATGTTTATTTACCTGTCGTGTGCAGTGGAACAGATTTATACACTTTTATGTGTCTGAATCACAGAAATGTCAAAGTGTCAGAAGTCCAACATAAACGTGAATATGATGTAATGAAGCCGAGCTCTTAACATGTTATGTCCTGTCTTCTGTCTGGCCCTTCAGCCAAACTTTAGGACCCTATGTGGCCCGCGAACCAAAAAGTTTGCCCACCCCTGGGTTACGGTGTCACCTCAGAGCAGATGCTGAGATCGCACAGGTGTGAACAACACTCGTGAGCTATGTGACTCTGGGAGTGCGTTCAGGGGCAGTATGGCAATTCTCTGGTAGGGTATTGGCTCGTGGCGTGGCATTAGATGGTGGTAGTGTTGGCCTGCTGCAGCGGTACCTCTGTGTCTGGAGCGACCTCAGGGAATGAAGGTGAAATAAAGCTCCCAGGGTCACGTAGAGCGAGTTAATACGAACATTCTAAGGTCAGAATGAGGAGCCTGACAGCGGCAGTCACAGAGAGAGGAGCCAGTTTTTCAACAGAAAGTGAAAGGGAGACGATGGAGCCAGAAGTGCATCCATGTTCATTTGGAATGCACAGGTTTGTGGTCTGTTTACACAAATCTACACTGGGCAAGTGCAAGTGCAGGGTCCTGTTCTACACCTCTGCATGGGTGAAGCACGGGGACATGTGATCTTTTTATCAGTATGTGCACTTCTTTTGGAAAAATAAAACAGTAGAACAAAACAATGTTCTTCTTTTTTGTCTCACTTTAATCAGAAAAGACTCAGACCTTGTGAGCTGAAAAGTTGATTAAATGAATAAAGTCTGGAGCACAGACTTCGGTGTAAATGACATGAGCTGAATGTAGTGAACTGTCTGTGAACTTCTCTTTCAGCGAGTGAACTCATTAGAGTAATTAGAGATTAAAGAGTTAGGGAAGCCTTAGAAAATCAAACAGTGAAACAGTCATTGGTCAATAACAGATTAGATAATCTTGATCTTGTAACATCCATCTATTCATTTTGTTCCGCTTTATCTGGGGTCAGGTCGCGGAGGCATCAGTCTAAGCAGGGACTCCCAGACTTCCCTTTCCACGCACACTTCCTCCAGCTCCTCCAGTGGGACCTGAGGTGTTCCCAAGCCAGAGACGTAGTCCTTCCAGTGTGTCCTAGGTCTTCCTCGGGGCCTCCTCCCGGTGGGACATGAACACCTCCTGAGGGAGACGTCCAGGAGACATCAGAACAGACGTCCTCCCCTCAGACGCTCCTCTCCACGTGGAGGAGCAGCGGCTCTACTCTGAGCTCCTCACTCTGTCTCTAAGGGAGACGTCCGGACGCCCTGCGGAGGAAACTCATCTGTGCCGCTCGTATCGTGGATCTGGTTCTTTGGGTCATGACCAGAGGTGAGGGGAGGAACAGAGACTGACGCTAAACCCAGACTCAGCTCCTCTTCATCACAAAGGTCCGATAAACGACCGCATCACTGCCCACGCTGCACCTGTCCACCTGTCAATCTCACGCTCCATCCTCCCCTCACTCCAGAACAAGACCCCGACATACTTGAACTCCTCCACTTGAGGCTTGAGAAGTTGGGTTCCAGAGCCCCAGCTGTGCGTGGAGGTGAGCTCGACTATATCTAGCCGGTACCTCCTGTACAAGCTCAGGCTCCTTCCCCCTCAGCGAGGTGACGTTCCACGTCCCTACAGCCAGGTTCTGTGCCTGTGGAGTAGGTTGCCGAGGCCTCTGTCCCCGACTGCAGACTAGTTCACTTTGCACCCGACACCTATGAAACCCTCTGCGGGTGGTGAACCCCCCTGAGCCCATCCGGGCCCCGTGGGCAAAGGCCACCAGGCGCTTGCTTTCAAGCCCCAACCCCAGGCCTGGCCCCAGGGTGGGGCCCCGGCTGCACAAACCGGCCGACGTCACGGTCCTTGTTGTTTCTCTGTTCATGTTGCTTTGTGAGCTGCTTTTATTCTGACCGAGGACCTGTTTGGACCATGGGAGACCCAACCAGGGGCATGATGCTCCTAGGATCATTCGGGTACGAAACTCCCCACCACAGTAACGTGGCAGTTCAAGGGGGAATCTTGTAACATTCAAATAATATTTTTGTTGCGTTAAAGCTGCCGATGTGTGACACCCGACACCAGCAGCATGATTTATTGAACTTTTCCACCACTGGCAGGTAAATGATGGATAAATCCAAGAAAATAAAAGTTTTAGAAGAAAACTAAATGTTTAATGCTGATGAATTTAAGTTTGAATTTTTATTTCCTACGAGGACTCAAATATACATTGAGTAATAATGTGTTTAATGCAGCTTTGACACATTTGTTTATGTTTTACAGAAATGGTCTCAGTCCTGGTCTGGTCCCAGTCTCAGTCTCGGTCTCAGTTCTGGTCTCAGTTCTGATCTGGTCCCAGTTTAAGTCCTGGTCTCAGTCCCGGTCTGGTCCCGAACCTGGTTTAGTCTTGGTTCAGGCCTGTTTTAGTCCTGGTTCAGTTCTGGTTCAGTCCTGGTTTAGTCCGTTATCAGTTTTTCCCATTTTTCATTTAAACACAAAACTGAAAACTGAAAAAACTAATCATTATCTGTTTTTCTCATTTTGGTTTTGGAGACAAATAATGAAGAAAATAGTTGTTTTTTCATTTTCTTATTTTTGGTTTTATTTTGAAAAACAAACAAACGACACACAGATTTGAGATGTTTGAGGTGAAGTTTTAAAAGGCGTCGCTCTCGCTGTCCTCGTGCTCCTCCGGTTCCTCTTCGGCGTTGATCAGTGGAGTCGTTTCAGTTATGGACAAAGCCACGTCTTTCAGAACCATGAAGGCGTTTCCTCCGCGCAGCATCGACTTCAGACTCGCCCAGAACACCTGCCGCCTGTGCCCCTCCCCCGGCCACGCCAGGTACGTCCTGTGCCTCAGAACGCTCCGCAGGCGACGGTACCGTTTGGGCAGCGAGTCGACCGCGATGGGCTCCAGCAGAACGAACACCATGGAGTCGTGCTGCGCGGCGATGGAGCGGTGCTGCGTGAAGAACAGCTCGTAGTTGCACCACTGGCTCTGGACGAAGTGTTTGGACAGAACGAAGAGCGTTTTGTAACTCGACTCCACGCACTTCACGATGTTGTCCAGGACCCACTCCCCGGGGACGAAATCTCGCTCGTGGACGCAGAGGGTGAGTCCGGCGCCCTCGAGACGCTCCACGAGCTGCGACTCCACCCACTCGGCGTCGCGGTGGCTGTACGAAACGAAGGCGTGGTACGAGAACAACGCGCTCCGCAGATTCTCCGAGCGCCTGTGATCGCGGCGTTTCGACTGGATCCACACCCACAGCATTTTACCGTACCAGACGCCGTCGAGTCTGTGGAACAGGAATCCGATAATTACGACAATGCTAAAAATGACGGCCAAACCGAGCAATCCCTGACGCCACGTTTGGCAGTTGAGCGCCGTTAAACCTTGGACGGAAGTGAGAGGTTTCCCCGAGTGAGACGGCGGCGTGCTGCAGGTGTACTGAAGCGGCCAATCAGGAAGCAGCGACTTGTTCAAAGACGTTATGAACCAAAACGAATCGCACGAACACACGAACGGATTATTACCGGCTCTTAACGTCTGCAGTTGGGGAAGTCCTGCGAGATCTTCCTCAAAAACGGACGTGATCGCGTTCTGGTCGACGTAAAGGCTCAGCAGCGACGGCGCTCGGAGATTCGCCGGGATCGACTGAATGCTGTTGCTGCTCAGAATCAGATGAGTCATGTTGGGGAATTTTGAGACGTCTTTTTGCGTCAGAACAGTTAAGCCGGTCTTAGACAAATCGATTCTCTCAAAATGCGGAGAGAGGAAGTTAAATACCGAATCGCCGAGGTTGTTGCTGGCCAGGTTTAGCTCTTTAAGCCAGAAGGGCCAGTCCACAACGCCGTCTAAGACAATCGAATTAAAGCTAAGATCCAAGGACTCCAGATGTTTAATGTGATGCGTCTTTTCGGCGATGAACGACAAACTGTAGAAGCGATTCTTACTGAGAGAAAGCTGCTTCAGTTTCGGAAACACGACTTTTTCCTGCAAACACGACGGCCACCAGAAACCTTTATCGTCCAGGAGGTTATCGGAAACATCCAAAGTCTCGAGGTTTGGAATCGCAGAGAAAATGTTACACGGTAAAATATTCATTCCTGTGCCTGAAAATTTTAAATAGGTAAGTTTCAAAATTAGGTCAAAATTTATCTCAAATTTCGGGTACTCGTATTGCATGTGGGTGATTTTAGAGATGGTAATGGATTGGATTTGGGCGGTGTGGGTCAGGTTGGGCAGCCGAAAACCTCCCGGCGTGTCTTCGTCGTACGCGATGTTTAACAAAGAAAGCTCCTGAACCATGGACTCCAACACGTCTTTGATGAACTGCTCCAAAAACGAGGTGTTTGTCCGCGTGTCCTCCACGGACAGGTTCCGGATCTGGGGCATCTTTTGGATTTTCTCGAAAGGGTTACCGCTGACGTTGCAGGTGTCCGGAAAAACAGCCACGAAACGCAGCGCGGTCGCTCGAGTTCGGTTCAGATCCTCCAGAATCGAGTCTAACAGTTCAAAGTTTCCGCAGAAAGTGACCTTGAGTGAGAATTTTTGCAGGAGTTGAAGTTTAGCCAAAGCGCCGGATTCGTACGTCAGCCATTTTGTACCGGCTCCGAGAACCAGATGCCGCAGGGTGACGTTTTGTAGAGCGTCAAAGTCGTCGAAGCGAACGGACGTGGCATTAGCGCTTCCCAATGCGAAAACATCCAGGTTTTTAAAGTTCCGATAAGAGTTTGGGAGTCGGTAGCTTTTGTAAACGTTGTAGGACAAGTCGAGAATCTGAACATTTCGCAGCGACAGATCTGGAACGACGGACAGTTTATTCAGGGACACGTTGAGGACTTTGAGAGACGGCGTCTTCTCAAAAACGTGAGGAGAGATTCCCGTGAGTCCACAGTCAGACATTTTGAGGAAACAGAGCCGGTGCAGTCCGGAAAACGCGTCGTCCGTGAGTTCCCGTATCGCGTTGTGGGAGAGGTCGAGGTACTCGGTGTCGCCGGGCAGATTCGAGGGCACGGCGCTGCGGTTTTGGCCACAGAGGTTTTGTATTCTGGAGTTTGAGGTGACGCAGAGTTTGAGGCCGGTCGGGTCCAGCTCGGATCCGAACCCAGAGCCCAGCAGCACCAGAGCGACCAGAGAAAACCACACGGACACCCTGAAACACACGACACACAACCATTTTACCAAAAGAAACTATAACACAACGTTCAAGAGGGGGTTTTACACTTCTATGAGTTATTACATTTACATCTTGAAAACAAGTTTAAGTTTCATTAAACACATTTTACAAAACACGAAACACTTGCACAAGCACCAAGACAATTTTATATGGCCTGTGTGAAGTCAACCCCGTCAAACGCAAACCTACACAAAAACTATGTAAATCATTTGTGCTGCTTTACTTTTGGAGATATTAACGATTCTTTTAAGGCCCGTTCAGACGCAGTGTCCAGTTTCTATGTAAAGTCTGTGGAGGGGCGTCTGGGGCGTCTGGGGCGTCTGGGGCGTCTGGGGCGTCTGGGGCGTCCTGCTTTTTTGCGGCGTGTCTTCAGAGTTCTGGCGTCGACGCTCTAGACATGCGTCCAGGCCGTCAGCGTCAGAAGTTGAAAATGCTGAACTTTTCACGTCGGACGCGCCGCATCAACCAATCAGGGACGAGTATCCAGAGACGTAGAGACGTTATTATCCAGAAGAAAGAGAAAGACCCGAGAACCAGAGACACAAACATGAGCAGAGAATAAATATATACACCACAATCACCGAGCAGATCACCAGGACTAGACCGGGACTAGACCGGGACTAGACCGGGACTAGACCAGGACTAGACCGGGACTAGACCGGGACCAGACCGGGACCAGACCGGGACCAGACCAGGACTAGACTAGGACTGAACCGGGACTAGACCTGGACCAGACCAGGACTAGACCAGGACTAGACCAGGACTAGACCAGGACCCAGACCAGGACCCAGACCAGGACCAGACCAGGACCAGACCAGGACCAGACCCGGACCAGACCAGGACTAGACCAGGACCAGACCAGGACCAGAGCAGGACTAGACCTGGACTGAACCAGGACTAAACCAGGACTAGACCAGGACTGAACCAGGACTAAGCCATGTTTTTTGACACTTCACTCTGAACACACTTCTACCGTCATGCATGCATGTTTGAGTAATCTAGTGATCTCTCCTGGGCCCTGTTCAAACCCTCCTTACGGATGGCAGTACAAGTCTGTACGAGGCTCCGCCCACAAGCTTCCCCACGACAAATCTCCATAAAAATCTACAAAAACATGACACAAAACTGAACACAGTGACTGGACAAACCCGGTGTGACGTGCAGGAGTTTCATTAGTGGGACCAGCGCTCTGAAGGGGGAGGGACTCAGCACAGGGAGCAATGGGAGACGAGACTCAGAGCGACAAAAACAAAAGTGAAACTTGAACACTTTGTTTTGGGCGAATATAGAATTTTCAAAAAAAATATCCATGTGTCATTCGTTCATTTGTTTTTCAAAGTAAAATTTAAAAAAAAAAAGAAAATGAAAAACTCTGTAATGATTGTTTTTTTCAGTTTTCAATTTTGAATGAAAAATGAAAAAATGAATAATAGACTAAACCAGGACTAAACCAGGTTTAGTTCTGGTTTAGTCCTGGTTTAGAATTGTTTTAGTTCTGGTTTAGTCCCAGTTTAGTCCTGGTTTAGTCCTGGTCCAGTCTTGATTTAGTCCTGTTTTAGTCCTGGTTTAGTCCTGGTTTAGTCCTGGTTCAATCCTGGTTCCTGGTTTAGTCCTGGTTCAGTCCTGGTGTAGTCCTGGTTTAGTCCTGGTTCAGTCCTGGTTTAGTCCGTTAAACATTTTTTTTTTCCATTTTTCATTTAAACACAAAATCAAAAACTGAAAAAAAACAAATCATTATCTGTTTCTTCACTTTGGATTTGGAGACAAATCATGAAGAAAATTGCTGTTTTTTCATTTTCTTATTTTGGGTTTTATTTTGAAAAACGACTGAACGAACGACACGATGATTTAAATACAGCGAATACCCCACAGAAATGTAAAAAAAAACACCCTCTTTAATCATTTCACTGTTTTTAAATCATGGAAAACTGTTCTACAAAGTCTGAGCTGAACCTTTACGATCATTTTCACCGACTCCTCAAACCCGAGTCTAAACCGTTAAAGAGAACAGCGTGTTACCTGTGCGCCCGCATGCTGCCGTCGTCTGCTCCGTCTGCTCCGCGATCTGAGCCTGAGTTTCCTCTAAACCCTCTCTGCTTCCTCTTTTTATCCCTTACTCTGCACTTTTTGATTTTGCTCTTTTGGTTTTTGGAGTTTTTGTTGTTTTGTAATCGCTGGTTGGTAGTTTTGTTGTATGGTGCAGTGGTGCGGGACGTGGGAGGGCATCTGACACACAGACAGGGTCACCACGCGCCGCTGAAATCCTGGAAAACCTGGAAAATGTTCGGCCGGTTTTACAGAAATTAGAAAAACAAACCCAGTGTGTTTTTTCTTGTTTTGTCCCTGAAAATGTCTCCACTTTTGGTACCGGTGTTTTATTGGAGGCAGTGGCAGTGGTCTGTCAGTGTGTGTGTGCTCCTTCAGATCTGTCAGTGTGTGTGTGCTCCTGCAGATCTGTCAGTGTGTGTGTGCTCCTGCAGATCTGTCAGTGTGTGTGTGCTCCTGCAGATCTGTCAGTGTGTGTGTGCTCCTGTCAGATCTGTCAGTATGTGCTCCTGCAGATCTGTCAGTGTGTGTGTGCTCCTGCAGATCTGTCAGTGTGTGTGTGCTCCTTGCAGATCTGTCAGTGTGTGTGTGCTCCTTCAAATCCTTCAGATCTGTCAGTGTGTGTGTGCTCCTTCAAATCCTTCAGATCTGTCAGTGTGTGTGTGCTCCTTCAGATCTGTCAGTGTGTGTGTGTGTGCTCCTTCAGATCTGTCAGTGTGTGTGTGCTCCTTCAGATCTGTCAGTGTGTGTGTGCTCCTTCAGATCTGTCAGTGTGTGTGCTCCTTCAGATCTGTCAGTGTGTGTGCTCCTCAGATCTGTCAGTGTCTTCAAATCTGTCAGTGTGTGGCTCCTTCAGATCTGTCAGTGTGTGTGTGCTCCTTCAGATCTGTCAGTGTGTGTGTGCTCCTGCAGATCTGTCAGTGTGTGTGTGCTCCTTCAGATCTGTCAGTGTGTGTGTGCTCCTTCAAATCCTTCAGATCTGTCAGTGTGTGTGTGCTCCTTCAATCTGTCAGTGTCAGTGTGTGTGCTCCTTCAAATCCTTCAGATCTGTCAGTGTGTGTGTGCTCCTTCAGATCTGTCAGTGTGTGTGTGCTCCTGCAGATCTGTCAGTGTGTGTGTGCTCCTTCAGATCTGTCAGTGTGTGTGTGCTCCTTCAGATCTGTCAGTGTGTGTGTGCTCCTTCAGATCTGTCAGTGTGTGTGTGTGCTCCTTCAGATCTGTCAGTGTGTGTGTGCTCCTTCAATCTGTCAGTTGTGTGTGTGCTCCTTCAGATCTGTCAGTGTGTGTGTGCTCCTTCAGATCTGTCAGTGTGTGTGTGCTCCTTCAGATCTGTCAGTGTGTGTGTGCTCCTTCAAATGCTTCAGATCTGTCAGTGTGTGTGTGCTCCTTCAAATCCTTCAGATCTGTCAGTGTGTGTGTGCTCCTGCAGATCTGTCAGTGTGTGTGTGCTCCTGCAGATCTGTCAGTGTGTGTGTGCTCCTGCAGATCTGTCAGTGTGCTCCTCTCCTGCAGATCTGTCAGTGTGCGCTCCTTCGGGTCCTGCAGATCTGTCAGTGTGTGTGTGCTCCTCAGGTCCTGCAGATCTGTCAGTGTGCGCTCCTGTCTGTCAGTGTGCGCTCCTGCATATCTGTCAGTGTGCGCTCCTTGCAGATCTGTCAGTGTGCGCTCCTTCGGTCCTTCAGATCTGTCAGTGTGCGCTGTGTCCTTCAGATCTGTCAGTGTGCGCTCCTTCAGTCCTGCAGATCTGTCAGTGTGCGCTCCTTCAGGTCCTGCAGATCTGTCAGTGTGCGCCCCTTCGGGTCCTGCAGATCTGTCAGTGTGCGCTCCTTCGGGTCCTGCAGATCGTCAGTGTGCGCTCCTCGGGTCCTTCAGATCTGTCAGTGTGCGCTCCTTCAGGTCCTGCAGATCTGTCAGTGTGCGCTCCTTCAGGTCCTGCAGATCTGTCAGTGTGCGCTCCTTCAGGTCCTGCAGATCTGTCAGTGTGCGCTCCTGCAGATCTGTCAGTGTGCGCTCCTTCAGGTCCTGCAGATCTGTCAGTGTGCGCTCCTTCGGGTCCTGCAGATCTGTCAGTGTGCGCTCCTTCAGGTCCTGCAGATCTGTCAGTGTGCGCTCCTTCAGTCCTGCAGATCTGTCAGTGTGCGCTCCTTCAGGTCCTTCAGATCTGTCAGTGTGCGCTCCTTCAGGTCCTGCAGATCTGTCAGTGTGCGCTCCTTCAGGTCCTGCAGATCTGTCAGTGTGCGCTCCTTCAGGTCCTGCAGATCTGTCAGTGTGCGCTCCTTCAGGTCCTGCAGATCTGTCAGTGTGCGCTCCTTCAGGTCCTGCAGATCTGTCAGTGTGCGCTCCTTCAGGTCCTGCAGATCTGTCAGTGTGCGCTCCTTCAGGTCCTGCAGATCGGTCAGTGTGCGCTCCTTCAGGTCCTGCAGATCTGTCAGTGTGCGCTCCTTCGGGTCCTGCAGATCTGTCAGTGTGCGCTCCTTCAGGTCCTTCAGATCTGTCAGTGTGCGCCCCTTCGGGTCCTTCAGATCTGTCAGTGTGCGCTCCTTCAGGTCCTGCAGATCTGTCAGTGTGCGCTCCTGCAGATCTGTCAGTATGCGCTCCTTCGGGTCTCTCCTCGCGGTTTCCTGTGTGGAGGTTTCAGCGCGAGTATCCGGCTCTAATCGTGAAGCTGCTAACGTGAATTTCCCCTCGTGAAGCTCGTTGACGCAGCAGGTTAACGTGTCGTGAGTGACAGAACATTTGTCCAATCACATCACCCTAAATAAACAGAGACTGTGATGTCACTGGTTGGTCACTTCTTGCCTGATTGTTTCTTCGGGGGAGTTTTGGACGAGTGTGAGGCTGGTGTCTAATGTTTACAGTCAGATGCCACAGTAACTTTACTCCATCTACTTTTTAAGCATTTAGAGGGGATTGGAACTCATGCAAGACTTCTTTTTATTGACTTTTCATCTGCGTTCAACACAATCCAACCTCATATTCTTTGTAAAAGACTTTTAGAACATTTTAGTCTTGATTTTAATATTGTGGGGTGGATTCTTGATTTTTGAACACAGAGAACACAAAGAGTAAGAGTGAGTGGTTCTTTCTGACCAGATGGTGTCATCAGCAGGACACCGCAGGGATGTGTTCTTTCATCTCTATTGTTCATACTGTTCACCAACAAGTGTCAGAGCACCTATGAGAACAGAACAATAATAAAATATGTGGATGATTGTGTCATTGTGAACTCGCTTCACAAAAATGAAAACCAACATGGGCCAATTGTTGAGGACTTTGTAAAATGGTGTGAAGAGTCAAATCTGCACCTAAATGTTTCCAAAATGAAGGAGATGATTATTGACTTTCAAAAACGAGCGCCTCAGTGTGACGTCACAGAGATAAAGGTTCAGTCAGTCGAGTGTGTGACTCATATAAATACCTACGAATAATCATTGATTCAAAATTGAGTTTTGACGATAATTGTTCTGGTGTGTGTAAAAGAGGCTCCAGCGTCTTCACTGTCTGAGAAAGTTTTCCTTTTACCGTGTAACAGAACCATGATGACACTGTTTTATAAAACATTTATGGAATCAGTTTGAACGTTTTCATTGGTCTCGTGGTTTGGGAGTATTTCTGCTAAAAACAAAAACTCCCTGGATCAGTTAAATGGGTGAGTGAAGTGATTGTTCCTCCTCAGAGCCTCTGGACTCGAGACACTTACAGACGACGTCCCAGAGGATTTTAAAAGACGTGAAACATCCACTAAACTCAGAGTTTCAGCTGCTTCCCTCTGGTCAGAGGCTTTTAGTCCCAAGATCTAGAACGAATCGTTTTAAAAGGAGCTTTGTTACGGCTGCTGTCGCACTTATGAATAAATTGTAATTTATTTATCAAAGATTGTGTGTTTTTAACATATTTAAGATTTATTTATTGTGATTTTAGACAAGCGTGATGGATGTTTTTAATTGGTTGTTTATTGAACAAACCGTTCTGCACTGGAGCATCTGGAACACTTTATTGTAACACTTTATTGTAACACTTTATTGTAACACTTTATTGTAACACTTTATTGTAACACTTTATTGTAACACTTTATTGTAACACTTTATTGTGATTTTATGTGTGTTTTGTGGATGAATGAAATGTGAAATGTGGAACCTGCCGCTTAAATCTGCAAAGCAAATTTACCTACAGGTACGAATAAAGCGACCAAACCTAACCTAACCTAACACTCAGTTGCCTTATTTTATTCTTACATTTTTTAATAAAACCTTTTATTATCGTCTTGTGTGTGAATCGTCCACCACAGCCTCAACAATAATAATCATAATATTAATAATAATGATAATAAAAACAACACATAATCAGACTAATACTGTTAAAAATAAACGTGTTGGAGCATTTCTGTTGTGTTTAAAATATTCCTCAAATGTCAGTGCGCCCCCTGCTGGTGACCCACGCCCCTCCAGCAGATGAGCTCTGACACCGACTCCGACGGACTCTCAAAACGTGAATATAACTCTGGATTTCGGGTTAAACAGGAACTTTGGTCCAGTGTTATTTTATAAACATTTCCAAAAATGTCCAATTAACTCTAGAACAGACTGGACTCAAATAAACCCTGAGAAAATGTAAAATTTGACTGTGAGAGTCAGAGGACGACCACAGGAGGAAGTGAAAGTGAAGAGGCATTTGGGCTTTTTACCACTTTAATTTGGACTTTCACTTTAATCAGATTTTCAGTTTAATCAGATTTTTACTTTAGTCAGATTTTCACAGATTTTCACTTTAATTAGATTTTCACAGATTTTCAGTTTAATCTGATTTTCACAGATTTTCTCTTTAATCAGATTTTCACAGATTTTCACTTTAATCAGATTTTCAGTTTAATCAGATTTTCACTTTAATCAGATTTTCACTTTAATCAGATTTTCACTTTAATCAGATTTTCACTTTAATCAGGTTTTCGGTTCAGATGTAGAAGATGAAACTGTTTGTTTATATCATTCTATTGTATTAACTTTCTAAATGACGCTGTTCCTAAAATCCTCTCTGTTCATAGATGAGAAGAGAATTTGGTGTCAGTAATTTATTGATTTTAGGTCAGTATTTTATTTATAGAAGTTGTTTGTTTGTAAAAGAAGAGACGTGTTTGTCCACAAAACTGAACACTTTTCAGGTTCATCCTTCAGCAGCAGAACCTCAAATAAACCGAAAGAGAGAATAAAATATTTAAACTGAAATATTGGAAATAAAAGTTGAAATCTGCTTTTTGTTTTTTGTTTTTTAACATGAAAACAGAAAAATGAAATAAACTGTTTTCCCATTTTATTGTTTTTGGTTCTTAATTGAAATTCAAAAGAGCAAGAGATTTGTGGTTTAGTCCTGGTTTAGTCCTGGGTTAGTCCTGGTTTAGTCCTGGTTTAGTCCTCGGTTAGACCTGGTTTAGTCCTGGTTTAGTCCTGAGTTAGTCCTGGTTTAGACCTGGTTTAGACCTGGGTTAGTCCTGGTTTAGTCCTGGTTTAGTCCTGTTTTAGTCCTGGTTTAGTCCTGGTTTAGTCCTGGTTTAGACCTGGTTTAGTCCTGGTTTAGACCTGTTTAGTCCTGTTTAGTCCTGTTTAGTCCTGTTTAGTCCTGGTTTAGACCTGGTTTAGTCCTGGTTTTCCTGGTTTAGACCTGGTTTAGTCCTGGTTTTAGTCCTGGTTTAGTCCTGGTTTAGACCTGGTTTAGTCCTGGTTTAGTCCTGGTTTAGACCTGGTTTAGTCCTGGTTTAGACCTGGTTTAGTCCTGGTTTAGTCCTGGTTTAGTTTAGTCCTGGTTTAGTCCTGGTTTAGCCTGGTTTAGACCTGGTTTAGTCCTGGTTTAGTCCTGTTTAGTCCTGGTTTAGACCTGGTTTAGTCCTGGTTAGACCTGGTTTAGTCCTGGTTTAGTCCTGGTTTAGTCCTGGTTTAGACCTGGTTTAGTCCTGGTTTAGTCCTGGTTTAGACCTGGTTTAGTCCTGGTTTAGTCCTGGTTTAGACCTGTATTAAATTGTCCCTTTTCCCCCTAATGAAATATTAATTGTTTTTTTTTTTGTTTTTTTTTTTTTTTTTTTTTAGTTCAGTCTGTTATTTCACAATCTGCGGCTGGAGTCGTGTTTTGTGGCTGAAATAAAAATTACAGGAGCAGAAATACAAATGAAAACAAAAATAAAACTCACACTGTTTCACACAAACATGTAGGAAAAACTTTTTGGATATAAATACTTTCGGGTCTTAACCACAAAAGTGCAAAATATCAATTGTGAAAGTAAAACTCAAAATCTCCTTATTGCCTCAAAACTAAAAACAAAAAAACAAAAAAAGTGAGCTTTACGTCGTGTTATAATGTTAATATTTCCTCCTCAAAAACAAACCTAGAACAACAAAAACAACAGGAGCTCCAGGTTTGACTGCAACTCCCCCAGCGTCCAGCAGATGGCAGCACCGCTCAGAAAAACAACGGCCCAAGGTCTAAAAGGTTTAAAGAAACAAAGAGGAAAATCTTCACGTCAGGATTTTGTTTATATCCAGCAACAGATTACATGTACCGGAGTAAAATAAACCAGGTCTAAACCAGGTCTAAACCAGGTCTAAACCAGGACTAAAACAAATCTACAACCAGGACTAAACCAGATCTAAACCAGAACTAAACCAGGACTAAAACAGGTCTAAACCAGGACTAAACCAGGTCTAAACCAGGTCTAAACCAGGTCTAAACCAGGACTAAACCAGGACTAAACCAGGTCTAAACCAGGTCTAAACCAGGTCTAAACCAGGTCTAAACCAGGACTAAAACCAGGACTAAAACCAGGTCTAAACCAGGACTAAACCAAATCTACAACCAGGACTAAACCAGATCTAAACCAGAACTAAACCAGGACTAAAACAGGTCTAAACCAGGACTAAACCAGGACTAAAACCAGGTCTAAACCAGGACTAAACCAGGACTAAACCAGATCTAAACCAGGACTAAAACAGGTCTAAACCAGGTCTAAACCAGGTCTAAACCAGGTCTAAACCAGAACTAAACCAGGACTAAACCAGGTCTAAATCAGATCTAAAACCAGGACTAAAACAGGACTAAAACAGGACTAAAGCAGGTCTAAACTAGATCTAAACCAGGACTAAACCAGGTCTAAAACCAGGTCTAAACCAGGTCTAAACCAAGTCTCAAACAGGATTTAACAGGACTAAATCCTGCTGTGTGGACGTGTTTCTTCTTCTTCTATCAATAATATTTTAAATTTGGTTCAGTAAAGTTTGGACTTTTTATTTTCTTTTATCAGACAAAACTTCTTATGTGAAGATTTCCTCGTCTTTGCTTCTCTCCAGCAAATCAAGTAATCCAAAGTATTCAGATTACATTACTCACCTGAAGTAACTTAATGGATTATGTTACAAACTACATTTTGGTGTATGTAATCTGTAATCTGTAATCTGTAGGGGATTACATTTTAAAAGTAAACTTCCCAACACTGTGTTTATCTGTGGAGAATTGTCGTGTGGGAGCCTGGGGGACGTAGGCTTGTGGGCGGAGCCTCGTACAGGCTCGCACTGCTCACCATAGGGAAGGTTCCAGAAGGGCCCAGGAGAGATCTCCAGATTACTCAAACATGCATGGGTCACTCTAAAACCTCTTCAGACGTGGTTTTGATACGGGAACGGCGTTAGTTAGTTAGTTTTGCATAATGAGCTCTTTAAAAATATGAAAACGTCCAGAATGACAATATTCTTTATGTTTTATTATCACAAGTCTAGTTCTGCATTTTATTTGACAAAAGTTAAGTTTTTTGTCTCTCCTTGGCTCGTGTAAACCATGGATCTATAATAAAAAATTTAGATATGTATTATTATTATTATTATTATTATTATTATTATTATTATTATTATTATTATTATTATTATATTATATTTTATTTATGTATTTATTTATTTTATTGTAGTTCTATAGCGGAAAAGCCCGAGCGTGAATCCGAGCGTCGGCGGAAAAGCCCGAGTGCGGGACATCCGGTCGGGCTTCAACATAAACAGCGATGGCGGAGGCAGCAGCAGCGTCCACGGCAGCTCCGGTGGGGACGGGCGGCTGGACCAAACACGTAACCTGCAGGTGAGACACGACTCCGGGGCGGCCTTGCGTCGACCCCCGGGCCCTTAGCGAGGCCCCGGAGCCGACAGACCCGCGGGAGAGCGCGCGGAAGGCGCCGGACAGCGGCGCGTCGCTCCGCTCAGCTGTTAGCAGCTAAAGGCTAACTCCGGGCTAACTGTTGTGCTCCGGCGGCTCCCTCCTCCACACACACCGAGCCCCGAGCCGCTCTCCCCGGCCTCCCGGAGCCTCTCTCCCCGGCCTCCCGGAGCCTCTCTCCCCGGCCTCCCGGAGCCTCTCTCCCCGGCCTCCCGGAGCCTCTCTCCCCGGCCTCCCGGACCAAACAGTACCGGTCCGGGCCTGGCACCATCATCCCTGTTTACCCGGGACAGTCCCCTGTCTAGAGCTGTAGTCAAGTCCACACTAATCAAGACCAGGACCAGACCAAGACCTCCTGAGAGTCGAGACTGAGACGAGACCAAATCCAGACCATCTTTGTCATTTTCAACATTTATTTGTATTTTACAGTTATTTCATATTGTGATATCGTATCGTCAGAAGTCTCACAATAATATCGTGGGCTGTCACAATATATTGAATCACAAGTTTAAGCTTATATGCAGGTTTTACAGTAGTAATAGTTTATAAACATCGAGAACTACATTTCCCATGATTCTTTTCGGGACAGACAACAGGAAGAAATGTGTTTTTGACTTGAATTCTTGGGATTATGACGGAAATAATTCACACCAAAATCTTGTCAGAGGTATTTTAAAAGCAAAAAAGTGTCTTGTCTACAACTATATCAGCCTTTTAGCAATAAATATCGTACCGTGAGATGTAAATCGTGATAATATCGTACAGAGAGATTTGGATATCGTTACTTCCCTGCATATATATCCAGTGTTGGGAAGTTTACTTTTAAAATGTAATCCCCTACAGATTACAGATTACATACACCAAAATGTAGTTTGTAACATAATCCATTAAATTACTTAAAGTGAGTAATGTAATCTGAGTACTTTGGATTACTTGATTTGCTGTAGAGAAGCAAAAACCAGAATATCGTAACATAATAAGTTTTGTCTGATAAAAGAAAATATAAAGCCCAAACTTTACATAACCAAATTAAAAATATTATTGATAGAAGACGAAGAGACACGTCCACACATCAGGATTTAGTCCTGTTAAATCCTGTTTTAAACCTGGTTCAGTTCTGGTTTAGACCTGACATAGTCCTGGTTTAGTTTTAGTTTAGACCTGGTGTAGTTCTTGTTTCTGATTTGGTCTTGGTTTTGTCTTAGTTTAGTCTTGGTTTAATCTTAATTTAGTCCTGGTTTAGTCCTGATGTAGTCTTAGTTTAGTCCTGGTTTAGATCAAATGGGTCCAAAATAGAAACACTGGGACATTTGTTGTATAAAATTGGGACATATCAGTGGTTTTGTATAAATCTGCTGGGACAGAGGACACGGGGACAGAGGACACGGGGAGGACACGGGGACAGAGGACACGGGGACAGAGGACACGGGACAGAGGACACGGGGACAGAGGACACGGGGACAGGACTGGAACTGTCTCGGGGACATGGGGACATCTGGTCTCTCTCTGTCAGTCACATACAGGACCAGGAGTTTAAATGTTCTCATTTATCATCATATTTGTCTGTAGCGATGCCTCGTGGTTCAGACTGGGACTGAAGTAGGACACGACCAGCACTGGACCAGGGACTGAACCGGGACTGAACCGGGACTAAACCGGGACTAAACCGGGGACTGGACTGGGGACTGAACCAGGACTAAACCAGGTCTAAATCAGGACTAGTGTATCGTGGTTTTAGACTTGTGTTTGTCCTTGTCACATGTCCTGACGTTGATGTTGTTTGTTTGTTTGTTTGTTGTTTTCAGGTATTTCATGCACGGTTTGTGTAAAGAGGGGGAGAACTGCCGCTACTCTCACGACCTCATGAGCAGCAAACCCGCCAACATGATCTGCAAGTTCTACCAGAAGGGGACGTGTGCGTACGGAGAGCGCTGCAGGTGAGGGGGGCGGGGCCTTACACACCTGCCGCACACGCCACGCACCTGGAATAGGAGGGTTTCAGTCACGTGATCACGATGACGCGCAAATTTCAGGTGGAGGGCAGGAAGTGAAGACAAACACGGCAAACGCGACAAACGCGACAAACGCGGCAAACGCGACAAACACGGCAAACGCGGCAAACAAACGCGGCAAACACGGCTCTGGAGAACACAGATATGGAGAAGAGTTCTTATTGAGCAGGAGTGTCAAACTCATTTTGTTCCGGGGGTCGTATCCAACCGACTTTGATCCCAAAGTGTCCAGATCAGAAATCTCATGTCATATAAACCCCAAAAATAACAATAAGTTCAAATATTTGTGCAGAGAAACACAAATCTATTACAGAAATCTTTTTTAATTGATGAACTCTTTCTTTTACAAAATATTATAATAATATGAACAACCTGAAACTTTAAGAAAAATACAATTTCAACACAAAGTTTTAACATGAACTTGTTTAACATTAACTTGTATAAATAGGAATAAGTTAATTTTTGTTGTAAAATCCTGCACTCGGCTCCACTTTTCTCATGTTGGACATTTTTCTGATGAGGGTGTCACGGTCAACAGTCAAAACGATCGTCCTTTAAGAGCGTTTGGAAAGAGACAAGTCTTCATTTGTGCTGCTCTGGTGGGAGGGGCCACGTACAGAGACGCTGGAGACGCTGCTGTGATAAACACCACAGAAAATTAACACCATTTTAATAGAAAATATCATTCAAATATTTTAGTAGAAAATCAGCCGAGGGCCAGATTAAAGGTCTTGGAGGGCCGGATCTGGCCCCTGGGCCGCATGTTTGACACCTGTGTTATAGAGGCTTTGTACCATCACGTGTCCCCATGACAACAGTACTTACGCCGCCATGACTCCGGGCAACACTATGTCATTGACTTCAGCAGCATCAGAGAAACATGGGCAGGTTTTGTTGTGTAATTATCGAAAAAAAGACGCGGATTATAGCTAGAGAACATAAACCACGAAAAGATTTCCTATTGTACCATCAAGACACCCGAAGTTTCATCAAGGTATTTGCTATTTAAATTGTTTCATAGTTTATTTAATGAGAGAAGCACATTTACTGAACTAAAATGTCATAAATTTATCCAGGAAAACCCGCACTAGTTTACGATTCAACGAACCCACACTGGCTCCTGTGATCAACACGACGCACGAGTCGAAGAGTCTGTGAGACGAACCTCGAAAGAATCGACCATGAAAAGATCCTCACCAACGTTAGAAAGATCCACTCACAAAAAGAGATTAATTCTAGAAGACAAAGTTGTGGATAAACAAGACAATAAAGAAAACATGGTCCTACGACAAGTGACATGTTTATATGTGCTGGAACATACAGTTTCTACTGAAACTCACACTGCAAATGTTTTCTTTTTACATTTTAGTTCAGTAAATGTGCTTCTCTCATTAAATAAACTATCAAACTATTTAAATAGCAAATACCTTGATGAAACTTCAGGTGTCTTGATGGGAACATTGGAAATCTCTTCGTGGTTTATGTTCTCTAGACATAATTCCCGTTTTTTTTCAATAATTCCCTTATTTGATCCTGATGAGTCATTTCCAGAGGAACAGCGAAGAAACGATTCGTTTTATCCCTTTCAGAGCGTCTAGAACAACCAAATACACAACAAAACCTGCCCATGTTTCTGCGACGCTGCTGAAGTCAGTCACACAGTGTGTCCGGTGTCATGGCGGCGTAGGGACCGTTGCTATAGGGTCACGTGACGGTGCAAAGCCTCTATTGTAAGGATTTAGAGCCAGTAGCGAGGCAAAAGTAGGAGCAGTTAGTCTTATTGAAAATGAGAGAATTTTCAACCGAAGTAAAAGATTTGCCGACAATCGAGGCAGAGGAGATCACGAAATATTTAGCTCTTCAGACATCGTTATACCCCAGACAACAGATGAAGGCAAAGTACAAAAGTTTGGAGGCATAGAACTTTTTTTGTCAGTGGATGGGTCCTCAACCTTGGTGCAAAAAGCCTAAATGATGATTATGGTTTGGTCTTCACCGGGGTGAGTGTTTCTCTTATTTTATGTGTATAGACGTTATGGGAAAAACTGCAGTGTATCGGCACTAACCTCTATCTGAACTATTTAATGTCAACAATCGTCGTTCGCCGTTAGTCGTTAATGATTCGTTTATGTTTAGGTAAACCACAAAAAACAATTTATCTTTGTAACAAACCTTTGTCGACGTGTTCACTGCAGACACGAGCATTAGTGAATTCTGCTCCTCCCGACCGCAAACAGGTTTGTAATCCACTTTTTACAGCGTTGTTCTGTCGGCTTTTCCCATTTCTGACCTTTGTGGACGACTATATTCGGGACTCTAAAAAAATCGCTTTTCCTTCTCTCGGTTAGAACAATTGGCACAGCCGTAAACTACACAACACATCGGCATTTTCCTCCAGTCGGTTCACTTCCTGCCCTCCGTCTGATTTTGCGTCCTGACAAACGTAGCCCTGTGACGTCACGTGAAACCCAGATATTTAACGCAGAAACACCTAAATCGATCAGAACATGACTTTAAAGTAGAGAAATTATCTGTGCGGGTTTAACTTTGACATAATCATGGGTTTGCGGGCGGGCGCGGTGCCGGACTGTGCAGGTGCGGGTCTCCAAAACTGGACCTGTGCAGGATTCTGTGTGACATATTTGACATTCTTACTGTTTTGAAGTTTAAAATGTTTGTTTCAGATGAACTTTGCACAAGACCTGATTTAGCAAAGACTTTTAGTGTCACAGCCACGATTTAGACTTTTTAAAATTGTACTGTATCGAATCATTTGAAATATCGTATCGAAAGTGCACCGTATCGAGAGAAGGTATCGTGGCCTGATCACAGCCTCATTCCTAATTTTCAGTTGTCCAAATCTTAAACATCATTAGAAATCAATGTTTGTTTAAATTGTTTTCTCAAATGGTCCAGTGAGGAAATCGATTTGAGAGTCTGGGCTAAATTACACCAAAAAATCCTCTTGGCGATATATCGACGATACAGCAGAACACGATATCAGTACTGTATCAGCTCATTAAACCATACGATATATCGATATTTCAATAGGCAGCACCAGGTAGAACACACAATACACAACACACGACACACACAGAACACACGACACATGACACACAACACAGAACACACGACACACAACACACGACACACACAGAACACACGACACATGACACACAACACAGAACACACGATACATGACACACGACACAGAACACACGACACATGACACACAACACAGAACACAGAACACACGATACATGACACATGACACACGACACAGAACACAGAACACACGATACATGACACATGACACACGATACATGACACACGACACAGAACACACGACACATGACACACAACACAGAACACAGAACACACGATACATGACACACGACACAGAACACACGACACACAACACAGAACACACGACACATGACACACACACAGACACACACACACACACAGAACACACGACACAGAACACACGACACACACACACACAGAACACACGACACAGACACACGACACAGAACACACGACACAGAACACACGACACATGACACACACAGAACACACGACACAGAACACACGACACAGAACACACGACACAGAACACACGACACAGACACACACACACGACACAGAACACACGACACATGACACGACACAGAACACACGACACAGAACACACGACACAGAACACACGACACAGAACACACGACACACACAGACACACACACACACACAACACACGACACACACACACAGAACACACGACACAGAACACACGACACAGAACACACGACACAGAACACACACACAGACACACAGAACACACGAACACAGAACACACGACACAGAACACACGACACAGACACGACACAGAACACACGACACAGAACACACGACACAGAACACACGACACATGACACGACACAGAACACACGACACAGAACACACGACACAGAACACACGACACAGAACACACGACACATGACACACAGTCTGTGATCCAAATGTTTCTGATGTTGACAGAAGATAATACACATTTTCCTGCACAGTTGTTTATTTGGAGGAGAGGGACGTTTCTGCAGCACAACTCAAAGCAGCAGCAGCTTTATCCAAAGTGTTTTATGGAACAAAGTGTAAAGACAAAAGCTCTGGAGATGCTTCTGAAGCTCTGGAGATGCTCCTCAGAGCCCCGGAGGTGCTCCTCAAAGCTCCGGAGGGTGCTCCTCAAGGCTCTGGAGGTGCTCCTCAAGGCTCTGGAGGTGCTCCTCAAGGCCCTGGAGGTGCTCCTCAAGGCCCTGGAGGTGCTCCTCAAGCCCTGGAGGTGCTCCTCAAAGCTCCGGAGGTGCTCCTCAAGGCCCTGGAGGTGCTCCTCAAGGCCCTGGAGGTGCTCCTCAAGGCCCTGGAGGTGCTCCTCAAAGCTCCGGAGGTGCTCCTCAAGGCCCTGGAGGTGCTCTCAGCTGTCCTGGTCACTCGTCAGTTTAAAGTGTCTCTGGTTTATTTCTGTCGCTGCTTTCGAGAGTCCTTCTGTGAATGTGACATTTGAGAAGTTCCAAGAACAAGTGTTTGAGAAACAGGAAGGAGAGAGAGAGAGAGAGGGAGGAGAGAGAGTGAAGGATGGAGGTGTGTGCGTGTCTGTGTGTGTGCGTGTCTGTGTGTGTGCGTGTGTGTGTGTGTGTGCGTGCGTGTGTGCGTGTGTGTGTGTGGTTCATTAATGTAAACACAGAGTCAGTGATGCAACAGATGAAACTCTTTGAATGTTTAAGGTGAAAGTGTTTACAACAAGAACAACAACAACACACAGACTAGTACACACCCATGGACCTGGTTTAGACCTGGTTTAGACCTGGTTTAGACCTGGTTTAGTCCTGGTTTAGTCCTGGTTTAGTCCTGGTTTAGACCTGGTTTAGTCCCACATGGGAATAGAAAAGAAAGTTCTATTATTTTAAGTGTAAAATCACAGGAAATCATCTACAAAAGGGTTACTCACACTTTTTCATCATGTGAGCTACTTACAAAATGACCAAGTCAAAATGATCGACCTAATACAAAACCAAACAAACTGCACTGAAACACTCTGTGGCCCTTTTTTGGACCCTCCCCCACAGTTTGAGAACCTCTTCTTTAAGAGAACTTCCTCTGGCACTTTACACAAAACTGTGAAAAAAGTGAAGGAAGATTTTTAAACCTGTTTTTTAAAGTTCCAAACTGGAGTTTCATTCTTTTCTGGTTTTGCAGTGATATTTACCAGCCTCTGCACGTTTACCAAACCAAACGCACATCGTGACAAACACAGATGCATTTGTCACTTTTGTTAGACAAACTTCAGACAAATGTGGCAGTAGGTCTGTTCTGTAGATCCGCTCTATGCTGTAGACCTGCTTTGTGTCAACACTGGAACACAAATTTAGACTGGTTTTTGCTTCACGTTTGGTCTTGTTCTTCTAATCAGCCGCACTGTGGGAGGGGCTTGTGTTGGCTGTACGCAGGAAGGAGCGAGAGCGTGAAAAGGCGAGGGGCGGCGTGCTGACGTGAGGCAGATGGACAGGTAGGATGTTTAGGAAGTTGAACCTGCCCTGTGACGCACGCTGGTACACGAGGGCACACGCTGTCGCGGACGAGCCGTGCATAGGGAGCGTGTGTGTTTGTGATGCGCCGTAGAGTCTCCGCGGGTTTCAAATGAGCGCACAGGCTGCACTGAGACGCCCCACACGCTCCTGCACCCGCTACAAGTTTATTACCAACAGCAGCGGCTGGAATGAAATATGATCACACTTGTTGAGTGTCAGACCTCGAGTGAGAGACAAGACCGAGTCCAAACACGAGTCCGAGACGAGACACGGCGATTTACCCACACGACCTTGGCCATCGACTGGTAGATCGAGATCAACGTATTGAGCACCACTGGTCTAAACAAAGATGATGTTTTTTTTTTTATTCTCATCGTGGGATCAGAATCAGTATCGAGTCTGTTCCTCAGTATCCGAGTCCGGTTTGAAATGTTCATGTGGAGGAAACACTCGTCTGTTTGTGGTCATGTTGAGTCACTTTTAACACTATAGTGAGTGTTGTTTGGTTCAGTTTCCTGTGGATTTACGTCGCTGCAGTGTCCTCGTCTGACCCCGAGATCCTCACTCTTTATGAGCATGCCTTTGTCTCCTCTGCATAACTACACCCCCAAAGCAGGACTAAACCCGGTCTAAACCAGGACCAGATCTGGACTACCCCCCTGTTCTGTCTCTGTCTCCTCTGCATAACGACACCCCCAGACTGGGACTGGACCGGGACTGAACCAGGTCTAAACCAGGACTGAACCAGGACTGAACCGGGACTCCCCCCTTCCCTGGTCTTGGTCTTGGTCTGGGTCTGGGCGGTGCGTGGAGGGGGGTGATCTCCAGGTGGCGCTGTGTCTTTGTTTTGTTTGTGTCTTTTGTTTTCGGTGCCTGAGCTCCAGACTGTGTTGGTGTGAGCCGTGTTTATCCGTCTGCCCCTCTTCCTCCTCCTCCTCCTCCTCCGTCGCTCCCACGCCGGGGTCTTCAGGTTCATTCGCATACATTACCCCCTCCCTCCTCCTGCCGTCTCTCCCGCTCTTCTTCCTCCTCTTCTGTTTCTCTGTTCTCTTTCTCTTCAGTCTCTGTCCTCTCTGTGTATCCTCACACACTCTCTTTCTCTCATCATCTCTCCCTCTCTCCGTCCCTCTCTCTGTCACATTTCTAAACTCACATCAGCGTCTTGAGGCTCATCACTGAAGAGCAGGAAACTTCACATTTTTTCCATCATGAAAATCAAGTCTTTTTCTCATGACTGTTTTATATGAGAGAAAATACATTTTATTACTCAGATTATTGCCCCCGAGACCTGAGCCCAGAGAAGAGGAAGAACGTGGATGGATATTGCAATATTTTATTACTCAAAGTCCCCTGTGTGTCAGATGCCCTCCCGTCCTCCTGTGTCAGACTGAGGTTGAGTCCCATGACACTGGCTCTCGTGAATGTGCAGGTGTGGGGGTCAGGGTGTGATGTTCTGATCTGATCCAACAAATGAAAGAAGAGACTAAGAGGGAGACGCAGACTCATTAAACAAATCACAGCCTGTTGAACGATAAAGTCAGGGTCAAGGCACACAAAACAACAGTTGATGTATCGGACACGTGACTTTTCTTAAAGGGAAACAGACGCAGCTCCACAGGCGTCGCTCGTTGAGCTGGACACACGTCGACTCGTTTGACCAGTCACTTTTAACTGGAGAACGGAGCTGATGGAAATGAAGAGAGGAAAAACATTTGTTGATTTTACTCTTAGAGATCCATCCATCCATGTTCTTCTACTTATCCGGGGCCAGGTCGCAGGGGCATCAGTCTAAGCAGGGACTCCCAGACTTCCTTCACCCCAGACATTTCCTCCAACTCCTGCGGGGGGAACCTGAGGTGTTCCCAGTCCAGTCCAGAGACATAGTCCTTCCAGTGTGTCCTGGGTCTTCCCCGGGGCCTCCTCCCGTTGGGACATGAACACCTCCTGAGGGAGACGCCCAGGAAGCATCAGAACAGACGTCCTCCCCTCAGACGCTCCTCTCCACGTGGAGGAGCAGCGGCTCTACTCCGAGCTCCTCCCATGTGACTGAGCTCCTCACTCTGTCTCTAAGGGAGACGCCCAGACACCCTGCGGAGGAAACTCATTTCAAGCGCTTGTATCCGCGATCTCGTCCTTTCGGTCATTACACTTTTTTTTTTTTTTTTTTTTTTTTTTAGAACTAATCAGTTCTAAAAACTCCAGAGAATGAGACAGAACTGTGACTCTGCTCCGTGTGAGTCTGATTTGAAATGTTTCTCTTGTTCAGGTTTGAACACAGTAAAGTGAAAGAGGAGCTGCCTCCGAAGACGCTGCCGTGCGCCCAACCGCCATCAGACCCACAGTCCAGACCAGAGACCAGACCAGAGTCCAGACCAGAGACCAGACCTGCTCCGGACTGGGTCAACGCAGCAGAGTTTGTCCCTGGTCAGCCGTACTGTGGGAGAGGTCAGTCTGAACGCACACACAAACAAACGCACACAAACACCAACGCACACAAACGCAAGCAAACACAAACGCACATGCAGGTGTCAGCATCTTGGCGTGTGTCGTCCGCAGGCTCGGCGAAGGCGGAGTCGTGCGTGGCGCTCATAGAGGACGCGGCGGCGGAGGACACAGAGGAGCGCAGGACCCAGGGGAAGACGCTGTGCCCGTACGCGGCGGTGGGCGAGTGTCGGTACGGCCTGAACTGTGCATATCTCCACGGCGACGTCTGCGACATGTGCGGGCTCCAAGTGCTCCACCCCACGGACACCTCCCAGCGCTCAGAGCACACAAAGGTACCAACACTAACACCACCACTGCCACCAACACCAACACCACCACTACAACAACACCAACACCACCACTACCAACAACACCAACACCACCACTACCAACAACACCAACACCACCACTACCACCGACGTGTGTGTCTGTCTGAAATACGACTGTTTGGAGCATTTGCTGTCCAAAATCACTTTTCCTAAACAGCCTCTCCTCTCCTCTGTTTCCTCCCTCATTCCTTTCCTCTGTCTCCTTCCTCTCTCCTTCTCCTCTCTCGTTTCCTCCTCCCTTTCACTCCTCCTCTCCTCTCTGTCTAACCCTCATGTTCTCTCTCTTTTCAGGCGTGCATAGAGGCTCACGAGAAGGACATGGAGCTGTCGTTTGCCGTGCAGCGCAGTAAAGACATGATGTGCGGCGTGTGCATGGAGGTGGTGTTTGAAAAGGCCAATCCGAGCGAGCGCCGCTTCGGGATCCTGTCCAACTGCTCCCACTGCTACTGCCTCAAGTGCATCCGCAAGTGGAGGAGAGCCAAGCAGTTCGAGAGCAAGATCATCAAGTGAGTCCAATAACGAGTCCAATAAGCAAGATCATCAAGTGAGTCCAATAACGAGTCCAATAATGAGACCGCGAACAAGTCTGCAAACGAGTCCACTAACAAGCAAACGGGTCCGCGAACGAGTCTGCAAACGAGTCCACTAACAAGCAAACGGGTCCGCGAATGGGTCCACGAACAAGTAAACAAGACCGCGAACGGTTCCACGAACCAGTGAACGAGACCGCGAACGAGACCGCGAAAGGGTCTGTGTACGAGTCTAGAAACGAGTCCACAAAGAAGCCCGCAAACAACAAACGGGTCGGCAAAGGAGTCCACTAACATGCAAACGAGACCGCAAATGAGACCGCATACGGGTCCACAAACAGATCCACGAACAAGCGAACGAGACCGCGAACGGGTCTGTGAACGAGTCCAGAAACGAGTCCACAAAGAAGCCCGCAAACGAGTCCACAAACGAGCACACTAAAGAGGCCTACAGAGAAGACAGACTACAAATGAGTCCGCAAACGAGTCCTAAGACAGGTCCTGCCGATCGATTAGTCGTCTGTCAAAAATATCGCGTTATTAACGAGTTAATGCCAAACAATTTTAACTTACGTTTTTTAATCGTGAAATTAAAGCTCTTTTTAGTGAACAAGTTTTTTCCTAAGCTGTGGTCACTGCTGTAATGTTAGAAAATCTACAGGATCTGTCTGTAAACAGGAAGGAAAACAGTTTGTCTCCGGAGTCGGAGCCAGAGTTGATGTAGCCGAAGTGCACCCATGCTCACTTCCTGTTTTGACACTGTTTAGACGCGTTACGACATGCTTGTGACATGGTTTGCGACATGCCTCTGTTTTGGGCCTCTGTTTCGGTGTTAACGATGTTACGACATGCTTCTGTTTAGACGCGGCGGTGTTACGACATGCTTCTGTTTAGACGCGGCGGTGTTACGACATGCTTCTGTTTAGACTAGAACCCGACTGATATGGATTTTGTTGTGGCCGATATGATACCGTTAAAATGTGAGTTGGTGCTGCCGATATAATCGCCGATATATTTAGTGATGTAAAAATTCACTGTAAATCTTGAATTGTTTAAAAACCAAAATATTTCCCAGCATGCAACGTGGGCTTTTCATAACAATGACGTCAGCTCAAAGTCGCCTATAGGCCGTCACATTCATATTATTCATGTCAGAAAAGTAAAGTGCCGCTACTCTGAGAAAAAAAAAAAAAGTCGAAGTAGAGGGACGCCTGAAAATAATGCCCAGTTTTGTCATTTTTTTCATTACTGAGATGATTATTCTTATTTTGTTTGATTTAATGTTTACTTTAAATGCATGAATTTTGGTGATTCTTTAAGGTGAACATGATTATTTGTTGATAGAAATAATATGATTAACTTGAGCAATAATTAACTGAAAAAATAAAGTTAATAGATCATAAGTTTACTTAAGTCATGTTTATTTTTTGTATTTTTTTGTTGACTATAGCGCCTTATTTAAAAGATGGAACATTTTAAAAGATGGAACAAACTGCACAAAGCTTCACAAATGTTTTGGACCGACAGTTAGACGTCAGTGTCTGAATAGCAGCGTGTCAGAACAGTGGCATGTAACCGGGTGAGCCCATGAATCACAGAACACTTCTCTACAGGGGAACGTTTGGCACTACAAACATGAACGCTTCTAATATTACTGATTCCAGTTTTGCCTCTTCCACATCGGAGCAGCTCTGACCTCTGACCTCTGTGTCTGTGCAGGTCGTGTCCCGAGTGTCGAATCACGTCAAACTTCGTGATCCCGAGCGAGTACTGGGTCGAAGACAAAGACGACAAACAGAAACTCATCCAGAAGTACAAGGACGGAATGGGGTACGGCTCGTTTCATTCACAGATAAGAATTTACTTTTTTTTTTTTTTTTTTCTTTCTCCCACGTTCTAACATTCTAGAGTCATCCACGCATGTTTGAGCCATCTAGTGATCTCTCTCTGGCCCTATACACACCCTCCTTATGGTTGGCGGTACGAGCTTGTACGAGGCTCCGCCCACAAACCTACATGCCCCGCCCCCCCCATGCTCACACACGACAATAATGAGTAGAACATGCATAGAAAATACATAAATATAATGCAAAAAAATATATATACTTCTTTCCTATAGCATTAAACGGTAATAAATTTCACACAGATTTTACTAAAAATAAACAAAAGTAAATGAACAAAAGAGCAATTAAACTTCTCATTTCCTGCACATTATAAATAAGCTGTATTTCATATTTTACACACTTAACCATTAAGTTTTTCAGCACAGCATTTTAAAAATAATCGCTTTTTTAGCCACACTTTTCAATACTTGTATATTTGGACAAAGCTTTAGTTTTATTTTCACGTCGTACCATAATTTGACGCCACAGACGGAGACACAAAAACTCTTCCTTGTCGTTCGAGCGCGAGGCTCTTTAAAGTTTAAAAAGCCTCTTAAATTATAGTTTCCTTCCCTTTCACAAAAAAGTGGTTGGATGTTTGTTGGTTTGTGCTTTACTTTTAGCGTTATACATGACTTGTGCAGTTTGGTTCATAATCAAACGGTTCAGTTAAAGTGATTCGGCGTGAATAAACAGTGGATTAGCGTGGTCCTGAAGTTTGACATTGTAAATCGTTCTTTCTATTTTGAAGTTTCATCAGTGGTTCTCTTGCGTTGGTTTTTATAATTACTGCCCCACATTTCTGCACAGTATGTTCATATTTGTATATTGTAATAAAAATACAAAAACATGACACAAAACTGTGCACAGGAAGTGGACAAAGCTGATGTGATGTGTGCGCTGAGTGTGTTGGGATGGAGCTCTGAAGGGGGAGAGGGCACAGGGAGCAAACGGAGAGGAACGGTCAAAATGCGGTTTTGGGCGAATATAACATTTTCAAACCAATAAAAGGAACATGGTGATCTAAATGTGTTACAGTAAATACCCCAGAGAAGTAAACACTCCCTCTTGAAAATTGCCGTATTTTTCAGACTATAAGACGCACTTAAAATCCTTAAAATTTTCTCGCCACTCAAACGCCAATCACTCTCATATTTTTTGGGACATGTACAAAATTAAAATCATTCTGGGATAATGTGTTTGAAAAAAAAATTAGACACAATCTTGACTAGATACCCTTTTTAAGATTCTGACTTTAGCATCAAAATAAAAGCAATAACAAGAAGCTGCTTAAAAAGGACCCACAGTCAGTGACATTATAAAAGAAATATACTCCATGGAACGACTGGCTTTTTTTCTACGTCTCTAAGGACATTTCTTCATTAAACACTGGACAAAATGGTTGAAATATAAAAAAAAAAGAGAGAGACTTGACTTCTACATCCTTATAACAACGGAACAGTGCCCCAGGTTTTTATTTTTGTATTTATTTGTTTTTCAAAACTTGAAAAACTGAATAAATAGAAAGTAAAAAAAAAAAAATAAAATCCTTTTTAATTTTCTAAAAAAAATCAACCTTATAATCCGTACGTGCGCCTTATGTATTCATTCTGGTTGTGTTACTGACCTCGAACTGATTTTATGTGGTGCACGGCGCTCAAAAATCTGTTAAAATGTTTTAGTACGACTTTGGTAAACTACAAAGCCGCACCAAGGGGCGAGCTGTTTATTTTTTATTTCAGAGCTTATAGTTTATTTATTTAAATGAGTCATGTGGTTTTAAGTTTAGTTTCTGTAAAACGTAAACAAATGTGGCAAAGCTGCATTAAACACATTATTACTCCATGTACATTTGAGTCGTTCTCGTAGGAAATAAAAAAACAAACTTAAATTATCCACCCATTTATAAAACATTCTCCAAAAACAGGGAGGTGACGCTGAGCGAGTTACGTCACGATCTGCCGATGTCCGGTTTTGTGTGTAACGCCGTACTTGTGTTGCAGGACTAAAGCGTGCCGGTACTTCGACGAAGGCCGTGGGACGTGTCCTTTCGGTTCAAACTGTTTTTACAAACACGCGTTTCCCGACGGTCGCCTGGAGGAGGCGCAACCACAGAGACAGAGGCCGAGCGGAGGACACAGGAGCAGGGTGAGGAAAACACAAATATATGTGCAGGAACATTTTCAGTCTGGTTCTGGAGACAAATAAAGAAGAAAATTGTTGGGGGTTTTTTTTATTATTTTTGGTTTTATTTTGAATGATCCATGGACTGTGTGACCTGGTTTATGGTTCAGATCTCTGTAACTCCTCGGCCTATCCACCTGAAACAAAAACTGACACAGAGTTCAGCCTCTTCTGTCAGGAGAAATAGACTAAAGTCACAGGATCTTTTCACAGTTGCTTCAGAAAGTGGAGCCGTTATTGAAGACGAGATCATAGTCGTGATTGCAGTTTTATGTCTTCGAGTCTATGGAGCCGATCCCAAACAAATAAGGAAAAGATTCAACATTTGTGGATCTGAAGTTTGGAGATTTTTTCAAAAACACTAAATTTCTCATCGAACTTCTACTCAAGTAAGAGTATAACAATACAACATATACAATAAAAATATTACTCGAGTAGGAGTAAACGTTTGGTTGGTCCATCAAAGCTTCATAAAAATAAAGTTTCAGATCACCTTGATTAGGACCCGGCATTAGGTTTTAGCACCAAATGATGATTTAGAAGAAAAAAGTGGAAGAAACAGGAGATGTTTAGAAGTTGCTCAAGTTGAAGCATGAAGTTGTGAAGCTCCAGCAGGTGATTTGTTTTTCATTCAGAAGCTTCACAGTCTGAACAGTCAGTCGTGAAGAAAACACCTGAACAGTTTTGAGCAACGTCTTTGGTCCTTCAGTGAAGAAATGTTTGTCCTGATGTTCTTCACTCCAGTGTGACGGAAGAACAGAAGAAACTGATGCTTCATGATCTGATGGAAAAGGAAGGTTTAGAGGTTCCACCAAAGCCACGAGACAAAGACCTTCATCCAGCAGATCATGAAGAGAAGCAGATCAGGGAGTTTTAGGAGTTTGTTCTTCTTCTCTTGATCTGACAAAAATGTTTAGAACAGTTCCTGCAGCAGACTGGGCTGAAGATCAGACTGAAGCTGAAGCTGCTCAAACTGTGCATCAGGAAAATGTCCATGATGTTTCTGAACGGAGCTGAAGCTTATTCAAGGACCTGGACTTTAGAAGAAACTTTTTATGGACTTCATGGACTTTTTATGAACTTTCTAAGCAACTTTTTATCAACTTTATGGACTTTCGTAGCAACTTTTTTTGGACTTTCCTAGCAACTTTTATGGACTTCATGGACTTTCTAAGGAACATTTATGGGCTTTCTTACTCATTTTTCTGCAAGTTTCTGTTTCCAGAAAAAAGACAGTTATTCACAGGCCTTATTTTTTTGTTTCCATGTTTTAGTTTAGGTCCTTTACGGCAGTTTTCAAGTGACTTGAGCAACCTGTAAATATTCATTAGTATAAAATTTGGCCCCAAATATTTTGGGCAGATATGGAACTAAATGCAGGGTTCTAATCTAGAGAATCTAGAACCACCCTGGTAAAAGTGTGCTCCTAGAAAACGTGTCTGAGTCCTCCCCTCCACTGCCACAGAGACATGTATTCCTCTGCTTCTTCTAAACTCATGGCCTCATCAGATTGTGTTGCTGTTCCCCTCCAGGCCTCCAGGCGCACCCCGCTCTGGGACCTGCTGGACGAGCGCGACAGCACGGACTCTCTGGACGACGAGGAGGACCTGGTGACGTTTGAACTCAGCGAGATGCTCCTGATGTTGCTGGCGGCGGGGACGGACGAGGACGCCACGGACTCAGAGGACGAATGGGACCTGTTCCACGAAGAGCTCGACGACTTCTACGAGATCTACCTATAGCGTCCCCCCCCCGGAGGCTGTGGCCGGCGGGCAGGCGGGCGGCGGGCAGGCGGCGGGGCAGGGCGGAGTCTAAACACACTCTAAAAAAAACCCATGCGTCTCTTCAAACCTCTGCTCCTCCCATCACAGAAAGAACAGGACAAAAGTCTAGAGCGCTGCTGTGGTCGACTAAAAACAGGCTGAAACTTCCATCATAAAGCTGCACTCTGTAACTTTTCGGGTTGGGATTCGTCACCTGCTTGTTTCTATGGATACGCCATTGCTCGGTCTGCAATGTCCCACAGTGTGACATTAAACAGCTCAATCACAGGAGGGTTTAAATCTCAAAAACACGTAGTAAAACAGACATTCTGACTGTGAGCGGGCTCGCCCCTCCACAGATCTGACGAGGAACTTGGTCTTGTTTGGTCTCTGTGAACATGGTAAGGTTTAGAACGCGTTTGACGGAGCCTCCCCCAGAAAAGTTACACAGTGCGATATCATTTAAAGCACCCAAATGGAAGGGCTGAACAATTCTGGGGAAAAACGTCGAAGCAGATAATTAATAAACTTCGTAATAGTAAAGCGATTTAACGGAACACGTCCTCAGAAACGCTCGTGTCTGTTCCATCCATCACAGAGACGGGGTTGAACTGTAGCCGCGCAGGGATGTTAGTTTAAATAAAATTATGAGAGGAGCGTTCCGTTCTCGACTCACTTTAGGGTCAAAATACATTTTCGTTGGCACATTTTTCCGCCTTATTGTCATTTCCAGGCAGAGGTGGGATTTGCAAGTCGTGACCTGGACTCGAGTCAGACTTGAGTCACTATTTTTAGGACTTGAAACTTGATAAAATGGACTAAGACTTGACTCGGACATGAGGCCTGCGACTTGAGAAAAATGTTTTTTAGGGGTGTAACAATAACCAAAATATCGTGATATTGTATCGTCAAATAATCTTAGTCCGTCACGATAAATCAAATCACAAGTTTCTTTGCTTAAATTCATCGTTCTGGTGCAGCAACAGTTAAAAAAAAAAAAAAACAACAACTACATCGACCATGATCCTTTGCTCCGTTTCAGTGCAGACGACAAGAAGAAATAAAAGTTCTAACACTTGTAAGTCAGAGTTCTTTGGATAAAGTCTTGCCAAGGCATTTTAAGAGGAAAAAGAAGAATATTCACAATTTTGTTCATCTCCACAAAATATCACATTAAATATTATAATGTGAGATTTGAAAATCGTTACATCCCTAATGTTTTTATAAAATACTTTTCTCTTTATAGTTGATAAATGCAGTACTGAATTTTACTTAGGATAGAACTGAAGTACTGTGATACTCAAATGTACTACAGTAATACACAGTACTACACAGTAAAATACAGTAAAACTGAAGAAACGACATATTTTCCATGATAAAATAATTATTATGAAGCTCTTTTAAATCTAAATTCTTTCTGTTCTGATCATAATGATTCACACTCAGATCTTGTCAAAACATTTAAAAAGGGAAAATTTGCATTTCTTCAACTCGTTTAATTACACTAAAAAAGTCAAGGTATATTTATATATGAGTATTTGAGTACGTTTACATGAATTGCAAAAATCTAAGCCGAGGATCTCCAACCTTTTTCCTCCCGTGAGCCTTTACAAAACAAAACTACCAGAGAGTTTCTCATTTTAAATAAATTCAGTATATAAAAAATGTTACTAGGTTCTTTTTACAGACCAAGAGTTTGTTTTTCATATCTGTAAAAAGAACCAAATAATATAAAATATCGGAAGACCAAATGAATCTCGTTGGACTAGTAAATAAAAGAGCCAGAGCCTTAGTTGGGCTACAGATGCTCATAAAATATAAACCATTTATCACTGCACTTGGGCATTAGAATTAAACATTTACAAAGGTTTTTTTATAATTCTTAAATCTCTTGTAAGAGGTTGGAGACTCCTGATCTAAACTATATTTGGTACTTCGGTTTAAAGACTTGAAATGACTTGGACTCGACTTGGACTTAAGGGCCAGTGACTCGAGACTGGACTTGAGACTTGCTCCCACCTCTGTAATTCCAAGCACCGTTTTCTGCATTTTAGCTCAACAAGTGACATTATCTTCCTCTGTTTACTGTTGGTGGGAATCGGATTGGGCAAAATCGGGGACTTTTCTTGTACAAAACTGGGAAAACTGTGACTGTCCCGGCGAAACTGGGTCGTCCGTTCACCCTGACTGTAGCGCGCTCGGGGTTTTACTGCATTCTGAAACACAAACTACTAAAAACACGGGCTGGGACTGTAATATATATATAAAAAAAAAAAAACACTAACGGGAGAGTCGCACAAATTTGCACAGATAAAATGTAATGTCGTTTTCCTGTTGAGCACTGCAATTGTGAACACGTTTGTGGTTTTCAAACGAGCGTTCAGGTCACGGGGCACGTTTTAAACTCGAGTAAAACCCGACTCACACTACAGGAAGTTTTTTAATGCTCTGTTCGACTCCGCCAATAAAACAAAGCGTTAGGGGCAGTTGGACACACAGAGGAACAAAGTACAAACTCAGGAAAGAGCGACTTTACGACTTTACGAGACGAGAAGTGAGTCGTAAAGTTAAACTGCAGCGTCCTCGTCCGTGTTAGCCGTTCGAACGTGTCCTCCGCACATCATAACCTCCGGGTCTGGTAATAATTGCATCAGATTTCAGAGGGATTTGAGGACGTTGTTCAGCTCTACCATTCGCAGAACCCGGAATGAAGCTTTCGAAAGCAGGTCTCCAAGTCTCTCAGTCGATAACGGACAAAAATAACGTAAAGCAAAAGAGAAATTCGGTTCTGTCACTGGGCAAACGTGCTTCTTCAGTTCTGGTCTGGTGGACACTGCCTTATATCTGCCTGCAGGAGGAGCTAACTACACTGAAACTACTCTGAAACTAACGCACAGACTTCGCTCTCTTCACGCTCACGTCACAAACCAGGAGGACGTTTGGAAACACGTGATTACAGTTTTTTTTTTGGGGGGCTCTGTTTGTGCCTCAGTAAGTCTGACGAAACCTAAGAAAAATTTGAAACTGTAAGATCTAAACTCTTAAACTGGTGAAATGATGTGTCCATGCAGTGAGATCAGGTCAGAGATATTTGCCGTGCATTTGCAGTGAAGTTTCATCGCGTGTTTCGAGACGCCTTCCCGGTTTGTGAGGGAAGCGTGAAAAGAGCCTCTCGTTTGCGGTTTCTGTTTGCGGACGGAGTTGTGAATCGTAGAGAGTTTGTGTCTGAGCTCGTTTGTCCAGTCACAGAACTCAGCTTCTCTTCGCTGCAAAAAGAGCTTGTCCAGAATGTAAGATCTAAACACTTAAATCTATCTGAAAATGACTTAAAACTACTGAAACAAACAAACTACCGGACAAGTTTTCTTAAAAATAAACGACCTCTAGACGAGAATGAAGTGTCGCTGAACGAGTGAGTCGATCGTAAATCTGAAAACAACCTGAAGAACCTGATGGAAGTTTTCAAATCTTGGCCAGATCAGAGAAATTTGCAGTGTTTTGCTTTGCACCGGAACAAAAAACAATATCCAGCTAAATTAAAGTGACTTAAATTAAGAACAATTTGCTTCAACTTGACGATTAACATGATCTACCAATGGAATAAGAGTGTTTTTATTAATTCAAACATCATTCGATTTTGTTTCGTCTTTTAAGTACAAAAAGTCTCATTCCACTGGAGGATCATTTTAGTCGTCGAGTGAAATTGACTCGGATCATGATGAAATTTTCTTAATTCAAGTCGTCTTAACTTGGCTGGATTTAGTTTTTTTGCAAATGTGGATTTTACGTGGACGACTGGGGGATTACACGGACGATAATAACGTAAGATAACTCTATTAATAATGCACTAAACGCCAAAAGAAACGATTCAAATTACCGTATTTTCCAGAGTATAAGTCGCACCGGCCAAAAAATGCATAATGACGAAGGAAAAAACGGATACAAGTTGCACTTTTTGCGGGGAAATTTAGTTAAAAAAAAAACAGAACAGAGGAGAACAAGCATTCAATTCTTCATCTACTTCTGAGCAGCAACTCGCGTTTTTTTTTTTTTTTTCATTGCTGTTTGAGTCTCCTCTGTTTTTCCTCACAAGTCGCTCACAAGTTTCTCGCTCACTCCAAACTTTCTCACCGTTTTCAGCTGCAGATTTCGCGACTTGCACGCCGACACACAAGCCCAGAGCGCCCCCTCCAGGCTTCAGAGTGGAAATGACAAACATCTGAAATTATACTTTTTGAATTTATAAGTCGCAAGAAACGCCCAAACCATGGGAAAAAAAATCGCGACTTATTGTCCGAAAAATACGGCGTGCGCTCTAGAGTTTAGTTCAGCTTCTGTGATTCTTCTGTGGACGAAGAAGAAGAAGAAAAAGAGGAGGAGGAGGAGGTTTGAGAAACGAGACGTCGATGGTTCAAACGCGTAAAATAGTCCCAACACTGCAAAAAAAAAAAAAAAAAAAAACACACATGCACTGTCAAAACACGAGATGGAAAAAGCCTCGGATTCTGAATCTTGATGTTTGTTTTTTTGTTTTTTTTGGCGACTTCACTTCTGTCCAAACGGTTTCACGAAACAAAAACTTCCGCACCGCTGAAACTAAAATCTGAGTTAAGACGAGTTGAATTGAGAAAGTTTCGTGATTTGAGTCAGTTTCACTTGACAATTAAAATTTTTAATCCGTCAGTGGAAAAAGAAAAGAAAAACAACAACAAATCTTCACGTAAAATAAGAAACAAAAACCGAATGTTGCTTGAATGAAGAAAAACACTTTGATTGTCAAGTTGAATCTACTCAAATAAAATAAAATGTTCTTAATTTAACTTATTTTAACTTAAATTTTGCTTTTTGCTGTGTAACTTGAGAGTATTCCTTAGAATCGAGGTAAAACTGATAAACCGATCCCGATACCACAACGATAATTGAAAAAAATCACGTTTAAAAGAAAGTGTTTTTTTGTTTTTTTTTTAAATTATCATGGTATCGGTATCAGTTTTGAGCAATCCTTAGTATCGAAATCGGGTTTTGTATCATGATAATAGTAACGGGAGGCTTGGGGAAAAGGAAATGAACTGAACTCTCGCAGAAAAACCCAACGGAAAAATCTGTGAAATCTAAAACTTTGTTCAGAATTCCGGTATTTTTTTTAAACGTGTGCATCTTTTTTTTTTTTTTTTTTTTTTTTACAGTGTGCGTACAGACTCACGAATCCCCCGATTTATGCACAAAAAGGTCGATAAAATAATTTGTTACGTGCTGTTTTTATTCTAAAGAACTAATAAACGAATAAAAAATCCCAAATATAAAGTACGGTTTATAACGACACTCAGTAATCGTACATGAAATAAAAGAGTTTGTTTAAAAGTCTCGTGTTTCAACAAAAATCACTCCTCGCGTCGTTGGAAGTCGGGTTCTGACGTTCCTTCTGTTTCTGTTCCTCGTCACTCGGAGCTCGAGTCGTGTTTTTGTTTGAGTGACTCTGTGTTCTGAGTCTGTCACATCTGCAAACGCTCTGCTCCACCGTGTGATGTCATCAGGTGGTAGTTTTCAACAGTTTGAACACAGCTCCTTTTCCCTCGAGGTCGACGACTCCACGACTGAAACGATCCAAACGAGTCTAGATCTGGACCAGGGACTGGACCAGGGACTAAACCAAGGACTGGACCAGGACTGGACCAGGGACTGGACCAGACACTGGACAGGGACTGAACAAGGGACTAAACCAAGGACTGGACCAGGGACTAAACCAGGGACTGGACCAGGACTAAACCAGGGGGACTGGACCAGGACTAAACCAGGACTGGACCAGAGGACTAAACCAGGGACTGGACCAGGGACTAAACCAGGGACTGGACCAGAGACTAAACCAGGGACTGGACCAGGGACTAAACCAGGGACTGGACCAGGGACTGGACCAGGGACTGGACCAGGGACTGGACCAGGGACTAAACCAGGGACTGGACCAGGGACTAAACCAGGGACTGGACCAGGGACTAAACCAGGGACTGACCAGGGACTAAACCAGGGACTGGACCAGGGACTAAACCAGGGACTGGACCAGGACACTGGACCAGGGACTGGACCAGGGACTGGACCAGACACTGGACCAGGGACTGGGACTGGACCAGGGACTGGACCAGGGACTAAACCAGGACTGGACCAAACTGTTGTTAAATGTTCAGGTTTGTGAGTTAAACGTGTGAATGAAACAAAACACGACTCCAGTTTTTTTTTGTGTGACGAGGAAACGACGTTGGAACAGAAACGACGTGACACGAGACATTTTAAATAAACTAAAAACACAAAACTAAAACCTCAGATCTGAAATGTGCCGTGTTAAAGTTAAACTCCGTCTGTTTTGGATGAACCGGGCTCTTCTGTTCTGGTCTCGGTTCTGAACGTCGTCGGCGAGTGCACTACTGAAACTGTATTTATTCAAGCCACTTTCACTCTTGAAGCAGATCTGTTCACGCCCGACTGTGTCCGACCTCTGACCTCCGACCCCGCGGATCCTTCTGGAACTATTTTCACGTTTCTTTTTTTAAATCACAATGTTCACTTAAAACGAGAGAGTAAAGAAACGAGGGAACAGACTTCAGATCCAGAAACGTGTGGAGTCCAGTGGAACTGAACCAGGACTGAACCCAAGGACTGAACCCAAGGACTGAACCCAAGGACTGAACCAGGACTGAACCCAAGGACTAAACCAGGACTGAACCCAAGGACTGAACCCAGGACTGAGACTGAACCCCAAGGACTGAACCCAAGGACTGAACCCAAGGACTGAAACCCAAGGACTGAACCCAAGGACTGAACCCAAGGACTGAACCCAAGGACTGAACCCAAGGACTGAACCCAAGGACTGACTGAACCCAAGGACTGAACCCAAGGACTGAACCCAAGGACTGAACCCAAGGACTGAACCCAAGGACTGAACCCAAGGACTGAACCAAAGAACCAGGACAAGGACTGAACCCAAGGACTAACCCAAGGAACCCAAGGACTGAACCCAAGGACTGAACCCAAGGACTGAACCCAAGGACTAGGACCAGGGAGTAGAACCAGGGACTAAACCAGGACTAGACCAGGTCTAAACCAAGGACTAGACCAAGCCTGAACCAGGTCTAAACCAGAACTAAACAAGGGACTGAACCAAGACTGAATGGAGTCTTGAAAATCAGAGATTAAAGGTTCCTCAGACATGAATCACTCCAAATCCAACTTCAGAAGGTCATAGAGAAGAAACAACTAGAACATGAAGAAACATCTGGAGGAACATCTGAGGACAACAGTCTGGAGGAACATCTGAGGAGGAACAGTCTGGAGGAGCATCTGAGGAGGAACATCTGAGGAGGAACAGTCTGGAGGAACATCTGAGGGGAACAGTCTGGAGGAGGAACATCTGAGGAGGAACATCTGAGGAACATCTGAGGAGGAACAGTCTGGAGGAACATCTGAGGAGGAACATCTGAGGAGGAGGAGGAACATCTGAGGAGGAGGAACATCTGAGGAGGAACATCTGAGGAGGAACAGTCTGGAGAACAGGTCTGCTTTAAGATCTGAACTTGTACAACTTGTAAATAAATAATAAATCGTAAAAATAACCTTACGTCATTTTAAGCGTCGCTGTCGAGTGAATTGCCAATAAAATAATAAAATGCAAAATAAAAATCTAAAAAAAATCAAACGTTCTGAAGAAAAACTTTCTGCCGTTTAAATGAACCTGAAACACACAGGAGCAGAACAGGACCAGGACTGAACCAGGACTAAACCAGGACTAAACCGGGACTGAACCAGGACTGAACCAGGGACTGAACCAGGACTAAACCAGATCTAAACCAGGATTTAACCTGGACTGGACCAGGAACTAAACCATGATTTAACCTGGACTGGACCAGGAACTAAACTAAGACTGACTCAGGACTAAACAAGGGACTAAAAATGTACTAAACCAGGACTGGACCGGGAACTAGACCAGGAACTGAACCTGGAATGGACCTAGGGACTGGACCAGGACTAAGGACTAAACCAGGGACTAAACCGGGTCCAAATCAGGTCTAAACTGGGTACAAACCAGGACTAAACTAAGACTGAATCAGGACTAAACAAGGGACTAAAAAAGTACTAAACCTGGACTGAGACCGGGACTGGACCAAGACTAAACCAGGACTAAACTCTCAGTTCTTTCAGCTGTTTCTTTTAAAATTTATGCTTTTTGTTCTTATCCAACACCTCAACACAAGAACTCCACAAATACTACAAAACTACTACTACTACTACTACTACAACAAATACAAGTACTACTACTACAAATACTACAAATACTTCTACTGCTATAAGCACTACTGCTACTACTACTGCTACTTACATTTGACACTTTTCTGCTGCTGAATTGGTGGTGATGCATATTGCACTTTTGCTCCTGTCGGCTCCTGTCTGCTCCTGTCGTACAGCTCGGCCCTGCCCTGTGACCTCTGCCCTGTGACCTCTGACCTGTGACCCCTGACCCGCTCACAGTGGCGTTTGACCCGGAGAGTCGCCCGTCGTGTCGCCCCCTGGTGGGAGCGCGCCGGAAAAACACGTCACGTCACTTCAGAGTTTAAGTTTTAAAAGTTTTACTCCTCAAACTTTTTTTTTTTACATTTTTAGACGCTCTGGTTTCAAAATGGAGACTTAAGAATCTAAAAAAAAAAAAAAACTGGAATGTTCCACAGTGCAGCATTAAACCTGTGTGTCGCATTTATTTTAACATCCAATTGTTTTTATTTCTCAAAAAAAAAAAAAATCTAAACCAGGACTGGACTCTCACTGTGAGCGGCGTCGCCTCTCCACAGATCTGACCTGTAGCTCGTGTGGCTTCACTCGTTTTGCCTCGAGGGACCTGGACATGTTTAATGCCGCACTGTGGAACATTCTACTCAAATCTCCACGGAGACGAGCCCAGAAGCTGCGTACGACCCCGAAACAAACGTCTAAAGAAATGAAAATAACCAAAACAAAACGACATTTTTTTGTTACGTCAACTCCAACTTCTGTTTTTTATTTTATTTTCCTTTATCTTATTTTTCCTGGTCGAGCTCAAGCAGCGGCTCTGAGGCGTCGGTTCTGAAGCTTCGAGCTCTGAAGCTTCGAGCTCTGAAGCTTCGAGCTCTGAAGCTTCGAGCTCTGAAGCTTCGGGCTCTGAAGCTTCGGGCTCTGAAGCTTCGAGCTCTGAAGCTTCGGGCTCTGAAGCTTCGAGCTCTGAGCTTCTTCTGAAGCTTCGGGCTTCTGAGCTCTGAAGCTTCGAGCTCTGAAGCTTCGAGCTCTGAAGCTTCGGGCTCTGAGGCGTCGGCTCGTTTCTCTCCCGTCGCGTCGCCCTCGTGTGAGTGGAACTACTTTCCGTGCGTCTGTCCTTGTGCTGTGTGCGCGGCGTGGAGGGATCCGCGCTCCGTGTCGCGGGCGCCCAGGTGCGTCGTGGGTAATGGAGTTTGTACATAGGTCACACTCTCATAACGAGGGATTTAACGAAGGAAGGAAAGGAGGGAAGAAAGGAGGAAAGGAGGGAGGGACTGAGGAGGGGGTTGTGTTTAAAGCCCTCGGCAGATCTCATGTGTTTAATAAAAACAAAATGTAATCACTTTACTCAGACTCTGATTTATTCACTTTAAACAAAACTAAACCAGGTCTAAACCAGGACTGAACCAGGACTGAACCAGGACTAAACCAGGACTGAACCAGGACTAAACCAGGACTGAACCAGGACTGAACCAGGACTAAACCAGGACTGAACCGGGACTAAACCAGGACTGAACTGGGACTAAACCAGGTCTAAACCAGGACTGAACCGGGACTGAATTGAAATGAGATTTTGTTAGAAATGTTTTTATTTGCATATTTTCTTGTTCAGTCAGTTTTTTATTTTTCCTCCTGGATCATAAATGTCACTTTCTGTTTGTTGTAAATTTGTGATAAAACCACAAAGTCTGATCCTGATCCAACAAACGAGACCTGGACCTGGACCTGGACCTGGAGAGGACACGACTCCACTCTGGTCTTCTGTCTGGGCACAGTGGGTCTGGTTCTGGACTCGGGTCAGTCCACGTGAGTCCGCTCCGGTCCGTGCCGCGCTTTGCCGCGTCCTCGTTGGCGTCAGCGGCGCGTCAGAGGCGGCAGCGGCAGCGTCAGGAGCGGAATGATCTCACAGCAGCTCCGCGCGCACCGCGGCTCCTCCAGCGGCTCCACTCCCGGATCCCGCCCCGGCTCCGGGCTCCTCCTCAGCGGCTCCAGCGACAGCGACAGCGCGCGGCCCGCGGCCTCCGACAGCCTCATGACCTCCGCGGAGCTCACGCACAGCGGCGCGGCGCCGCTCGCCTCCCGCGGCCGCGCGCTCTACAAGGCGCTGTGCTTCGCGGTGCTCGCGCTGCAGGGCGCGGTGCTGGACTTTTACCTCATCGCGTTCACGGACCTGTCCTGGTGCTCGTGGATCGCCACGGACCTCGTGGTTCTGTCCGGATGGGCCATTTTCTTCATCAAGAACGCGCGGAATAAGCGCGAGCGCGCGTGCGGCTTCCATCAGAAGAGCTCCGCGCGCGGCGCGGGTCTGGGGGAGTTCACGTACGCGTACCTGGCGTGGCTCATCTACGTGATCGCGTGCACGCCGAAGATGGTGCTGGTGGTGGAGACGTCCATCCTGGAGCTGCTCACGCTGAAGGTTCCGTGCGGCGTCACGGGCTTTAAGGGCGCGGTGCTTCTGTCCGCGCCGCTGCTCTTCTGCCTCATCGGCGCGGTCACGGAGGACGGCACCGGAGCCACGCGGCACCGCGCGCACGCCAGCTTCCTGAACACGTGCCTGGACCTGCTGGACAGTTTCACGCTCGTGGAGCTTCTGCTGCGGAACGAGCTTCCGGTGCCGCCGCTGCGGTACGCGGTGCTCTGCGCGTTCTTCCTCGCGCTTTTCGCGCCGGTCATTTGGCTGCACGAGCTCACCGCGTCCGAACTCACGTGCCGGTCCCTGTGCGCGCGCTTCTTCACGGGACTTCTCGTGAACGCGCCGCTGCTGGTGGTGCGCTGCTTCCAGGTGTACGCGCACGGCGCGCCCGTGTCCGTGTTTTTATTCAAGAACGTGTTTATGCTCACGTGCCGCGCGCTCGAGCTCACGGAGCAGTGTCTCACCGCGCGCGGCGCGCGTAAACTCGCCGCGTCAAACCCCGCGCACTTTTCCCACGGAGTCTCCGAGAACGACATGTGTCCGCACGGCTACGTCAACACGCTCGCCGTCAACCAGCTATGATGCGCGCGCACCTCCTCCCTGGGGCGCGTGCGTTTGGAACTGGGTCAAGGACAGACACGCCTCTGGACTCTCCGGACCCGGGCCCCGGGGGACTCTGGACTCTGGTCCTGGACTCTGGTCCTGTGGTTCTGGTCCTGGACTCTGGTTCTGGTCCTGTGGTCCTGGACTCTGGTCCTGGTCCTGGTCCTCTGGTCCTGTGGTCCTGGACTCTGGACTCTGGTCCTGTGGTTCTGGACTCTGGTCCTGTGGTTCTGGATCTCGTGTCACTGGTGCTTTATTTTTTCTTCAGTTTGATTTTTCCTCCAGTTTTTTTTTTTTTTTTCCTGTTTCACTTTTAGATCCAGAAAGTTTTAATGTGACAAAGTTATTTGTACAAAACAAACTTTATTCTTCTGGAAGAGTCTGAATCTGATCTTCACACGTGTCGTCCTGTGTCAGATGCCCTCCCGTCCTCCTGCGTCACACTGTGCCCAGGTCACATGTGTCTGTGTGTCTGTGTGTGTCAGATGCCCTCCCTCTTGTCGTCCTGTAAACTCGTTGGTTCTCGTTTCTCCACGAGGCGCCGCTTTGCTGCTGCAGAGGTCAGAGGTCAGAGGGTCGTCAGCGACACGTTTGAGGAAAAAGTCCAGACTTGTTGATCAGAGTGAATCAGAGCCGACGCCTCCGGGACTGAAACTGAAACTGAAACTGAAACTGAAACTGAAGCTGAAGCTGAAGTGTTTTTTTTTTTGGACGTTTGTTGGACGTTTGTTGGACGTTTGTTGGACGTCTGTGGTCGTGTCACTGCTGCACTTTTCTGTTGTCGCTGCTTTTGGTCTCAGGAGTTTCACCACAGACTGAAGAAACAAACACACACAGACAGGAAGTGTTCATGGACCTGATCAGGCTCCACAAACTCTGGCTCCAGTTCAGTTTGTGTAAAAACATGTGGCCCCTTTAAAGGACTAAACCAGATCTAAACCAGATCTAAACCAGATCTAAACCAGGTCTAAACCAGATCTAAACCAGGTCTAAACCAGGTCTGTGGTGTCGTCTTGTTTCTTCAGTTTGTGGTTTTGGGTTCGACTCCTGTTTTGGGCCTTTGTTGCTTCTTATGCCAAAGTTTACAGTTTATTTTTGTATAATCTTTTGTACGACGCCCTGTGGTGTGGGTCTGTGGGTCTGTGGGTCTGTGGTTCTGTGGTCTGTGGGTCTGTGGGTCTGTGGGTCTGTGGTTCTGTGGGTCTGTGGTTCTGTGTAGATGCTGCTTCTCTGTAGAACAATCATACATTTTTTTGCACAGTTGGACTTTGGGGAGAGTTTAAACGTCGCTGCTGCTCCAGTTTGTTTCGGGTGAAATAATCTGAATTTAATTTCACTTAAAAATAAGGAGAAAACAAAAGTGTGTGTGTGTGTGTGTGTGTGTGTGTGTGTGTGTGTGTGTGTGTGTGTGTGTGTTTAGACTCCACGAAATCCAGGCCAGTTTCGCCAAAAAAAGTCAAAGTGTCACGAGGAGAAGTGAGACGGTTTTTACTGAAACGACCGAAGCCGACGTGTTTCCACGGCGACAGTCCACGTGTCGCTCCATCGGTCGTTTTTCAAAATAAAACTAAAGAACAAATAAGCAACAATTTTCTTTATTATTTGTCTCCAAAATCAAAATAAAAAAACAGATAATGATTCAGTTTTTGTTTTTGTTTTTTCAGTTTTTGTGTTTAAATGAAAAATGGATGAAACGGGAATCGGCTGTGATCAGGTTTTTCCAATTTTGACCATGAAGCCAGAATAAAAACTGAAGATGTTGGACTTTTGCGTCACATACGGACTAAACCAGGACTAAACCAGGACTAAACCAGGACTAAACTCAGGACTAAACCAGGACTAAACCAGGTCTAAACCAGGACTAAACCAGGACTAAACCAGGACTAAACCAGGTCTAAACCAGGACTAAACCAGGACTAAACCAGGACTAAACCAGGACTAAACCAGGTCTAAACCAGGACTAAACCAGGACTAAACCAGGTCTAAACCAGGACTAAACCAGGACTAAACCAGGACTAAACCAGGTCTAAACCAGGACTAAACCAGGACTAAACCAGGTCTAAACCAGGACTAAACCAGGACTAAACCAGGACTAAACCAGGACTAAACCAGGACTAAACCAGGACTAAACCAGGACTAAACCAGGACTAACCAGGACTAACCAGGACCTAGGACTAAACCAGGACTAAACCAGGTCTGAACCAGGACTAACTAGGACTAAACCAGGACTAAACCAGGACTAAACCAGGTCTAAACCAGGACTAAACCAGGACTGATCTGTTTTTGTTTTTTTTCCATTATTTGTTTAAACACAAAACTGAAAAAATGAATCATTATCTGTTTTATTCATTTTGGTTTTGGAGACAAATAATGACAAAAATATTTTTTTGTTTTGTTTTATTTTGTTTTCTTACTTCTGGTTTTATTTTGAAAAATGAATAAATGAGACACAGATTCATGACTCTTCATCAGGGTTTTAGTTTAACAAAAACTTTTTTTTGAAGTGCCTGGATTTCGTTTTAACTTAAAAATCTATTCCAATGTTTATAGAAGAAAGTTAAAGCTCTGCTACGGAACATTTCTGCTCGTCTGTATGGAGATGTCGTCACTTTACGGCACTAAACTCTGTGAACTCAGTGTAAGGAGAAATAAACAAACACATTACGCACAAGTAGTCCCGGCAACAGTTAAATCACATTGTGTATCACTGCTCCGTCACCATAGCAACGGGTCAACAAATGTCCCTCTGAGTGTTCAAGGGGAAAAGATTTTCAAAATAAAAAACTGTGACACTCTTGGTTTGTGGTGGTTGGTAATAAACACATTTATTTTGTTGAGTTTCTTAAATTTATTCGGTTGCGTTTTTTGTTTTTGTTTTTTTTTTTATTCGGTTGCATTTTTTAAATTTATTAACTTGAGTTTCTTAAATTTATTTTGTTGCATTTCTTAAATTTATTTTGTTGCATTTTTTAAATTTATTCAGTTGCGTTTTTGTTTTTTGTTTTTTTAAATTCAGTTGCGTTTTTAAATTTATCCAGTTGCGTTTCTTAAATTTATTAACTTGAGTTTCTTAAATTTATTTTGTTGCATTTTTTAAATTTATTTTGTTGCGTTTCTTAAATTTATTTTGTTGCGTTTCTTAAATTTATTTTGTCGCGTTTCTTAAATTTTTTCGGTTGTGCTTCTTAAATTTATCAACTTGAGTTTTTAAAATTTTTTCATTTGTGTTTCTTAAATTCCTAAATCACAGGCGTCTTGTTTAAAAATACTTTCTTTAAAATCATGCATTAATACTGTGATCTGTGTCTGGGCTTGGGAAGTTTAATGCTGCACTGAGGAACATTCTAGACAAAGTGATCATCTCCGTGGAGACGAGCGAGCGGCGGAAAAGTTAAACCTTTATCTTAACGCACCTGCAATTTTCACGAGTTCTTGAAGGACAATTTAAAGTTCTCCCCCAAATAAAATAAGAAAATACACGAACCTGGCAGAAAAGTATCTGAAGGTAAAAGTGAAGCTCAAGTTCCACCTTGTGATGTCATGAAGTGGTTGTTTTTTATGGGCTGTTTAAACCTGAACCAGTCCAGAGTCGGCGCCGGTTTGGACGTGAACGTGACCGAAGAGACGACGCCACAAAAAGACCTCAGGACCTCGGTCGTCGGGGACGTCGTCGTCGGGGACGTCGTCGTCGGGGACGTCGTCGGGGACGTCGTCGGGGACGTCGTCGGGGACGTCGTCGTCGGGGACGTCGTCGTCGGGGACGTCGTCGTCGTCGGGGACGTCGTCGGGGACGTCGTCGGGGACGTCGTCGGGGACGTCGTCGGGGACGTCGTCGGGGACGTCGTCGGGGACGTCGGGGACGTCGTCGGGACGTCGTCGGGGACGTCGTCGGGGACGTCGTCGGGGACGTCGGGGACGTCGTCGGGGACGTCGTCGTCGGGGACGTCCGCTCCAGGAGTTTTTCTCCTCGTGTTTGTGATTTGACGCGGTGTTTGGGAGGAACTGTGTCGGTGCTGTGGACTCTGTGTCTGTTCCTCCTGTTCAAGAGACAAAATACACAAAAATACACAAAAAATACACAATAAACTCAAATATAGAAACATGATCAAACTGGTTTGTGTGTGACTGTCTCATTCTTCATGTTTTCACTCTGGAACCTGCAGGAGGCGACATGAAACTCTCCAACTCATGTCATTAGTCTCCTGATTTAGACCTGGTTTAGTTCTGGTTTAGTCCTGGTTTAGACCTGGTTTAGTCCTGGTTTAGACCTAGATTTAGTACTACTTTAAACCTGGTTCAGTCCTGGTTTAGACCTGGTTTAGTTCTGGTTTAGTCCTGGTTCAGTCCTGGTTTAAACCTGGTTTAGTCCTGGTTTAAACCTGGTTTAGTCCTGGTTTAGTCCTGGTTTAGACCTAGATTTAGTCCTACTTTAAACCTGGTTTAGTCCTGGTTTAGACCTAGATTTAGTCCTACTTTAAACCTGGTTTAGACCTGGTTTAGTCCTGGTTTAGACCTGGTTTAGTCCTGGTTTAGTCCTGGTTTTAGTCCTGGTTTAGTCCTGGTTTAGACCTGGTTTTGGTTCTAGTTTAGTCCTGCTTTAGTCTTGTATCGCTGTATTCAGGACAAACTGGAGGAGTTTTATCAGAACCTTGCAGTTTTTGAAATGAAGAAATGTCCGAGTGCGACTACAGGTCGACCCGACTCCAACAACAACGAGAAATAAAAAGTCTGTGACAGAAACACAAGGAAACTAAAGACTGAAACAAAGGAAGCGTCTGTGGACGTGTGACCTGAACATCTGACGACTGTAAACACTGGACACACTGTGTGACGTGGTCGTGTCCACTGCACATGTGACACTTTTCACACTGGAGTCAAACACGAGTCACATTTAACTGGAAATGTGAACGAAAAAAAATCAGATTTCACCAAAACATCCAGACTGAACAGAGACTTGGACTTTAATCTGAGTTTTGTCTGGACCTAATCTGACCAGAAGGACCTGACTGACCTGAGCTCCAACAGGTGAACTGACCTGAGCTGTTAAACTAAACTAAATGACACTACTGTCCCAAGTGTCGGCGTTAGTGTTACACTCAGTAAAATTCTGACGAGTTTTTTTTTATTAAATTTCATGTTTGAATCATTGAAGTGCAGTGTCCAGTTTGTCCACTAGAGGCCAGTGCACACAAACAGTTAAACTCTGAATATTTAAACTGTTTTCAAACTAGAATAAACCTTTTTCACAACGACTGGAAGTGCAGCCACGTCGGTAAACGTCACTTCTGGTCAGAGGTGGGATCAAGTCGTCGTTTTGAGTCTCAAGTAAATCTCAAGTCCAAGTCAAGTCCCAAGTCAAATCCAGACAAGTCCGAGTTTTGAGCTTCAAGTCATGTCAAATCTTTTGTGATTTATATGAATTTTAAGATAAATTTAACTTAAAAATAAAACATAATATATTTATATTTGAGTATTTTTAGAGTTTACAAGAGCTGTGCAAATTAATTTAGTTAAATTTTGAATCATCACAATCAGAACAGAAAGAATTCAGACTTAAAAGAGTTTCCCAAGTCACAGGCCTCAAGTCCAAGTCAAGTCTCAAGTCAAATCCAGGTAAGTCCAAGTCGAGTCTCGAGTCTTTAAGTCAAAGTAGTAAATAGAGCTTAGATTTTTGTGATTTATATGAATTTGAAGATAAATTGTACTTAGATTTTTTTTAAGTATGTTTGTATTTGAGTATTTCTAGAGTTTACAGGAGCTGTGCAAATTAATTTAGTTAAAAATTAAAATTTTTGTGTCAAATTTGTAATCGTCTTGACAAGATCTGAGTGTGAATCATTACAGTCAGAACAGAAAGAATTCAGATTCTTCTCAAGTTTTCTCAAGTCACAGGCCTCAAGTCCGAGTCAAGTCCCAAGTTTTAGTCCATTTTATCAAGTCAAGTCTCAAGTCTTAAAAATAATGACTCACGACTCCTCATTACGTTATTCAGTCCAAACAAAATATCCTCCAAATGTGTTTTGTGACTCTCAATTGAGGCTTTGCACTGTCACGTGTTCCCATGGCAACGGTCCCTACGCCGCCATGACCCCGGACACACTGTGTGACTGACTTCAGCAGCGTCGCAGAAACATGGGCAGGTTTTGTTGTGTATTTGTTGTTCTAGACGCTCTGAAAGAGATAAAATGAATCGTTTCTTCGCTGTTCCTCTGGAAATGACTCATCAGGATCAAATAAGGGAATTATTGAAAAAAAACGGGAATTATGTCTAGAGAAAATAAACCACGAAGAGATTTCCAATGGTCCCATCAAGACACACTCACGTCACTTTCATCAAGGTGTTTGTTATTTAAATAGTTTGATAGTTTATTTAATGAGAGAAGCACATTTACTGAACTAAAATGTAAAAAGAAAACATTTGCAGTGTGAGTGGCAGTAGAAACTGTATGTTCCAGCACATATAAACATGTCACTCGTCGTAGGACCATGTTTTCTTTATTGTCTTGTTTATCCACAACTTTGTCTTCTAGAATTAATCTCTTTTTGTGAGTGGATCTTTCTAACGTTGGTGAGGATCTTTTCATGGTCGATTCTTTCGAGGTTCGGCTCACAGACTCTTCGACTCGTGCGTCGTGTTGATCACAGGAGCCAGTGTGGGTTCGTTGAATCGTAAACTATTGTGGGTTTTCCTGGATAAATTAATGACATTTTAGTTCAGTAAATGTGCTTCTCTCATTAAATAAACTATGAAACAGTTTAAATAGTAAATATCTTGATGAAACTTCAGGTGTCTTGATGGGACCATTGGAAATCTCTTCATGGTTTATGTTTCTAGACATAATTCACGTCTTTTTTCAATAATTCTCTTGTTTGATCCTGATGAGTCATTTCCAGAGGAACAGTGAAGAAATGAATCATTTTATCCCTTTCAGAGCGTCTAGAACAACCAAATACACAACAAAACCTGCCCATGTTTCTCCGACGCTGCTGAAGTCAGTGACATAGTGTGTCCGGTGTCATGGCGGCGTAGGTACCGTTGCCATGGGAACATGTGACGGTGCAAAGCCTCTATTGTCTCTCTAATCGTCTCTAAAATGGGAAATCGACTGAACCGATATCCTGGAAGCCGATACTCGATCCAACTAAACTCTGAGCGTCGGCGGCTCGTCCGTCGTGGATCTGCAGCTCGTCGGTGTTTTGGTGTTTGACTTGTGACTGTTTCTCTTTTCAACACAATTGAACCAAAATAATGATTAAAACCCAGAGCCTGACAACTTTTACAGCGTTTTATTTATGAAAAATAATCAATCTATATCGGCGTCGTCTTTGTTATAAAAAAATCTTTTGGAGTTCAGATCACGACGATTCAAATACAAACACTTCAATCATCAGGTTCTCAGTTATTCCAGTTAATTGTCACGAGCTCAAAGAGTCGACAGAACAAAATATTTACATCGTCATCAGTGAATTCAGATTCAATTCAGGATATAAATTCATAAAATAGAATCACAAAGAGTAAAAAAAAAAGAAAACAGTTCATAGAAAAACAAGTCAGTACAAATCCTTTCTGGTCTCGTTTAATCTTGTGGTTGTATTTTTTTCCTTTGGCCTTTTGCACGACACTTTAATTTAGGTTCATGATAAAAAGGCAGAAAACAGGAAGTGACAAAGAAGGTCAAAGATCAACAAAGATCAATACACAAATATTTCTTCATTATAGCAACGAGTCAAAGTTCCCGATGACAAACGTGAAAAAAAGACACTCAGTCGTGGCCTCAGATTACGGTTTCCTTCCCACAAAATGTAAATGTTTCCCACGTTTTATTTAAACAGTAGAGATGCTGGACTTTAACGCTGAGGATAAACCATCTGTGAACTCAGAGAAATAAACTAGGTTCAGTCCTGGTTTAGTCCTGGTTTAGTCCTGGTTCAGTCCTGGTTCAGTCCTGGTTCAGTCCTGGTTCAGTCCTGGTTCAGTCCTGGTTCAGTCCTGCTAATGACAAAGTTTAGATTCTGCACATTTTTTGCATTTCCAAGTAACTCTCCTGCCCCCAAAGTCTTGCAAAGTTTAGATTTTCTTCTTCTGGTGTTTGTGGATTTCCACCCACAGAGTCTCTGTTTACACAGAAACTAATCCATGTATCAGCGGATCAGAAACGACGTGTCCACAAACTTACACATCTGAAACTAAACTGAAGTCACATGACTCATTTACATAAACGAATGTGTGTGAAAAAAACTGTTGTTTCTTGTGTCTGATGTGGTTCAGTTTGTGTTGGACTAAAGGACACAGAGACTCATATGAGTGTTCTCTCTCTCTCTGTGACAGAGGGGTGTTCTCCTGTGTCAGAGGGTGTTTCTCTCTGTGTCAGAGGGGTGTCAGAGGGGTGTTCTCCTGTGACAGAGGGGTGTTCTCCCTGTGACAGAGGGGTGTTCTCCCTGTGTCAGAGAGGGGTGTTCTCTCTGTGTCAGAGGGGTGTTCTCCTCTGTGACAGAGGGGTGTTCTCTCTGTGTGACAGAGGGGTGTTCTCTCTGTGTGACAGAGGGGTGTTCTCTCTGTGTGACGAGGGGTGTTCTCTCTGTGACAGACAGAGGGGTGTTCTCTCTGTGTGACAGAGGGGTGTTCTCTCTCTGTGTCAGAGGGGTGTTCTCTCTGTGACAGAGGGGTGTTCTCTCTCTGTGTCAGAGGGGTGTTCTCTCAGGGGTGTTCTCTCTGTGTCAGAGGGGTGTTTCTCTCTGTGACAGAGGGGTGTTCTCTCTCTGTGTCAGAGGGGTGTTCTCTCTCTGTGACAGAGGGGTGTTTCTCTCTGTGTCAGAGGGGTGTTCTCTCTCTGTGACAGAGGGGTGTTCTCTCTGTGTGTCAGAGGGGTGTTCTCTCTGTGACAGAGGGGTGTTCTCTCTGTGACAGAGGGGTGTTCTCTCTGTGACAGAGGGGTGTTCTCTCTCTGTGTCAGAGGGTGTTCTCTCTGTGACAGAGGGGTGTTCTCTCTCTGTGACAGAGGGTGTTCTCTCTGTGTGACAGAGGGGTGTTCTCTCTGTGTGTCAGAGGGGTGTTCTCTTCTGTGTGACAGAGGGGTGTTCTCTCTCTGTGACAGAGGGGTGTTCTCTCTGTCAGGGGTGTTCTCTCTGTGACAGAGGGGTGTTCTCTCTGTGTGACAGAGGGGTGTTCTCTCTGTGTGTCAGAGGGGTGTTCTCTCTGTGTGACAGAGGGGTGTTCTCTCTGTGTGACAGAGGGGTGTTCTCTCTGTGTGACAGAGGGGTGTTCTCTCTGTGACAGAGGGGTGTTCTCTCTGTGTGACAGAGGGGTGTTCTCCCTGTGTCAGAGGGGTGTTCTCTGTGACAGAGGTGTGTGACAGAGAGGGGTGTTCTCTCTGTGTCAGAGGGGTGTTTCTCTCTGTGACAGAGGGGGTGTGTCTCTCTCTGTGTCTCTCTGTGTCAGAGGGGTGTTCTCTCTGTGACAGAGGGGTGTGTTCTCTCTGTGACAGAGGGTGTGTTCTCTCTGTGTCAGAGGGGTGTTCTCTCTGTGACAGAGGGGTGTTCTCTCTGTGTGACAGAGGGGTGTTCTCTCTGTGTGACAGAGGGGTGTTCTCTCTGTGTCAGAGGGGTGTTCTGCTGATGCTCAGTCTGTTCTGTGTTTCTGTTGTGTTGGTTCATGTGAAACTTTTCACACATTACACATGTGCAGGTCGTACACACAGACACACGTTTATGTGAATGGACACATATTGTGTGTCTTAGACTCGGCGGTGACAGACACACATCAGAGTATCAGAGTTTTCAGGAGTCCCACAGTCCCCATCACATCTGGACCAACATACACACTAGTGTGAACCAACACTGTACACACAACAACACCACTCACATACACACTAGTGTGAATGGGGCCCTAGTTTATCCTGAACATGTTACAAGTTAGTCCAGCATCTCGACTGTGTGGTCAGATTATTGGTCTGACCCTGAAGTGAAGTGTACGAATTAACTCAAACGTAAGAATGAAATAATAATTTAAGGCCACAATTTATGATCTTTTTTCTCGTACGTCTTCAGACGAGTTTCCTGCCTCTGCTTACGTCTCTGCTTCCCAAGTACAAAGTAAAATTATAAACAAACGTGATAAAACGAGATGAGATTTTTGTCAAACAGTTTGTGCGAGCGTCGTCGCGAGCGTCGTCGTGTCGAGCGACGTCACTCCACCTCGAAACGACAGTATTCGCTCATCAGCTCCTGCTGCAGCTTCAGCAGCGCCCTCATGTGCTCCGAGTCCGGCTCCGTCCACACCCTGGAGCTGTAGCCCTGATCGGAGGCGGAGCTCTGGCCCTTAGACTCCGCCCCCTCCTCCAGCGGCTTGAGGCACGGGACGCTCGCCGCTTCCTCCTCGCTCTGCTCCACGCTCACGCCGGACTCCGCCGCCTCCGAGCTACGCCACGCGCTCACCCCAGACTCCGCCCACTCCGCGCTCTGTCCCGCCCTCACCCCGGACTCCGCCCACTCCGCGCTCTGTCCCACCCTCACCCCGGACTCCGCCCACTCCGCATTCTGCCCAGCCCTCAACCCGGACTCCGCCCCAGACTCCGCCTCCTCCTCTTCGTCCTCGACGGGAATCTGCATCGCCGCGTTCGGAACAACCTCAGATTTAAATATGTCCATGTTTGGTCGCGGATTCGGCCGCAGCTCCAGCACCGATCGGTCGGGAGCGAGCGCCGTCGGGAGAGGCTCGTTCAGCGAAATCGGCGCTTCCCGTTTCACTTCGGGTTCGGCGATGTAAAAATGCGGCGCCGTCTCGTTCACCAAAACGTCGTGGGTGAAAATGGGGGCGGGGTCTCGGACGATGGGCGCGCACTCCAGGATCTGCGGGAGCGGCGTGTTTTCGATGAACGGGCTGGACTCGTCGGCTTCTTCGGCGTCGGCGTTTTCGAACCAGTCGGGGTGTTGGAGCTGGAAGGCGGCGAAGGCGTGGACGGCGCTCTGCAGCGAGCGGCCGGACGGGCAGCGGTGGTACTCGTCCGGCCCGATGCCCGGGACGTGGTTGACTCGCCGCGGTTCGTACTTCTCCAGGTCGAGGAGGCGGAAGTAAAGCTCCTCGAAGTGCTTCATGAGTTTGTACTTGACGGCGATGTCGAAGAACGAAGGAACGTCTCGCTCCGAACTCAAGTCCTCGAAGAACGCCGCGATGTACCTGGACAAGAGACGGAGAGAAGAGAGGGAGACCTTCAGACCTAGAGTTTAGTTTTCATCCCTGACAGTTTCGACTGTTCACTCGCGTCTTCCTCAGAGTCTCGTGATGTTTCTGTGTCGTGTCGCTCAGTTGATTTAAACAGGTTTTGTCTCTGTTTTCCTCTCGGTGGAGGCAGGACGACAGCGCCACCTGCAGTCGCACTTCCTCAGGACAGAATCCAGGTGTGTGAGAGTAAAAAAGCCCCTCGTCCCGGTTTATCGTCCCGTGGGAACATTTATGTATTTCAATTGCCTCTTTAATCCAGCGACGATGTTTGCTCCGTCCCCGTCCTGAATGTGGTTCAGAAGTTCTCGTTCTGCTTTGTGTTTTGTTGCTCGTGTGCACGTCCTTCGCTGTTTTAAATAATACAGAAATGTTCCCACGGGACGATAAACCGGGACGAGGGGCTTTTTTACTCTCACACACCTGAGATTCTGTCCCGAGGAAGTGCGACTGCAGGTGGCGCTGTCGTCCTGCCTCCACCGAGAGGAAAACAGTGACGAGACATGTTTAAATCAACTGAGCGACACGACACAGAAACATCACGAGACTCTGAAGACGACGAAACTGTCAGGTATGAAAACAAAACTCTAGGTCTGAAAAAAACAAACAACAAAAAAAACATAAAACATGACTAAATTCTATGAAATGCACAAGTTCATGTTAAAACTTTGTGTTGAAATTGTATTTTTCTTAAAGTTTCAGGTTGTTCATAATATTATAATATTTTGTAAAAGAAAAAGTTCATCAATTTAAAAAGATTTCTGTAATAGATTTGTGTTTCTCTGCACAAATATTTGAACTTATTGTTATTTTTGGGGTTTATATGACATGAGTTTTCTGATCCAGACACTTTGGGATCAGAGTCGGTTGGACACGACCCCGGAACAAAATGAGTTTGACGCGTCTGGTTTAGTGTTTTCTGATTCTGATCTAGTCTCTGGAGAGAAATGAAACTGAGCGGAGACACTGGTTGGAGAGAGTCGAGGGTTGAGCTCGGACAGGAAAAAATAAATAAAATCACTTGACCCACGATTTTATCAACAAAACCGTTTCCACAGTGGAAAAGAGAAGCTCAGGTCACAGACACGTTTACCTGAATCTGAAACATCAAACTGTTCAAACAGAGATTAAAGCTCTAGTCCGGTACCTTCCCCTGGAGCCCGGCGTGTGCATGTCCGACAGGAACAGGCTGAGGAACGGCCCGATCAGGTCGTCCGGCTGGTGGACCACCTGACCCTGACCGCACATGGACCTCCACTTCGACTGGACGCCGCGAGAACAAAGAACCAGGATCTTATCGGTCGGACGGAGCTTCTGCCTCTGAAGCTCCAGCCACCGAAAAACGCCGTACTGAGAAACCGAGGACGAGTCGAGAAGGTCCAGAAGAACCTGAGGAGCACAGGAGAGAAGGATGAAGAGGAGGAGGAGTGAGGGATGAAGAGGAGGAGGAGCGATGATGATGAAGAAGAGGAGAGAGAGATGATGAAGAGGAGGAGAGAAGGTCCAGAAGAACCTGAGGAGCACAGGAGAGATGGATGAAGAGGAGGAGGAGTGAGATGATGAAGAGGAGGAGAGAAGGTCCAGAAGAAACTAAGGAGCACAGGAGAGACGGATGATGAAGAGGAGGAGTGATGATGATCAAGAGGAGGATAGAGAGATGATGAAGAGGAGGAGGAGGAGCGAGGGATGAAGAGGAGGATAGAGAGATGATGAAGAGGAGGAGGAGGAGCGAGGGATGAAGAGGGTCAGACCAGGACGCCGCACTGGGCCTGGAGGAAGGCGGCGAGCTGGAGCACCACGTGGAGGAAGAGCGGGTGGTCTCTGGAGTAGATCAGGAGGAGGGTGGGGCGCTCCTCCAGATGTTTCTCCTCCACCGGGACCGAGCCCAAGTCCTGCCGCGCCTCAGGTCGACCTGCAGGAGGAGACACGAAGCTCAGGAGCCAGAGCAAGGACAACGACACCCACCACCACCTCATGACATCACGAGGTGGAGAAACACCCACCACCACCTCATGACATCACGAGGGGGAGAACAACACCCACCACCACCTCATGACATCACGAGGGGGAGAACAACACCCACCACCACCTCATGACATCACGAGGTGGACAACAACACCCACCACCACCTCATGACATCACGAGGGGGAGAACAACACCCACCACCACCTCATGACATCACGAGGGGGAGAACAACACCCACCACCACCTCATGACATCACGAGGGAGAACAACACCCACCACCACCTCATGACATCACGAGGTGGACCAGAGCGTTTGGAGAAACACACAGACTCCGATTAAATTCAAATTTGGGTTTCGTCACCTGTTCTGTCCGGAATGTTCCGCGGTGTGACTTTAGACGGCTCTACTGACTGTGAGCGGGCTCGCCTCTCCACAGATCTGACCTGGAACACCCTCTGGCTTTGGTCTCCGTGGAGACAGAAAGGTTTAATGTCACACTGCGGAACGTTCCGGACAAAACGACGACAAAAACGTTTTCCAAATCAGTAAAACTGATTCTGCGTCGACTTCTGCCGATATATCGATACTGCAGCAGCCCAACACATCGATACTACACCAAAGAGAGTCTGCTGATATATCGATACTCCAGCAGTCCACGATATCGATACTGCAGCAGCTCAATACATCGATACTACAGCAGCTCACGATATCGATACTGCACCAAAATGAGTCTGCCGATATATCGATACTCCAGCAGCTCACAATATCGATACTGCAGCAGCTCACAATATCGATACTGCAGCAGCTCACGATATTGATACTGCACTAAAGCGAGTCTGCCAATATATCGATACTGCAGCAGCTCACAATATCGATACTGCACCAAAATGAGTCTGCCGATATATCGATACTCCAGCAGTCCGCGATATCAATACTGCAGCAGCTCAATATATTGATACTGTACCAAAATATCGATACTGTAGAAGCTCACGATATCGATACTGCACTAAAGCGAGTCTGCCGATATATCGAAAAGGCGTATACCTCTTCTTCTGCAGACGATGACGGTGACACAGACTCCGAGCAGCAGCAGAACCAGAGCCGACGCCCCCAGAGCCACAGACTGGGGGCGCCACTCACCTGTCAACAGACAAAGAGAAAGTGAAACTAAACGGCCAATCAGGAACAGCGCCATCTGCTGTTACCGGGCAGTTTTACAACAAACTCTGATTTAAAGTACTACGTGACATCACACAGGGCTGCACTGATCACAGACAGTTTTTTTTTTTTTTTTTTTCCCTCCCCGGGAAGAATAAATAAATAAAACAATTAAAAATACATACTAAATAAAAATAATAAAAAATTTAAATAATAAAAAATAAGAAGCTAATAAAAAAAAATTAATTAAAAATAATAATAATAATGAACAAATAATGATAATAATAAACAAATAATAATAATAATAATAATAATAATAATAAAGCCGTGGTCGTTTTGTTATTATTATCATCAGACAAGTGTTTTTTTTTTCCTCGAAAGAAAAATAAAAAAACGAAATAAAAAAAAATAAATTAACTAAAAATAATAATTTTTAAAAAGAAGCTAATAATAACATAATAAAAAAAAATAAAAAAAAATTACAAAATAAACAATAATAAAATAAAATAAAGTTGCTGTTTGTTTTATTATTTATTATCAGACAGATGTTAGTTTTATAAACCAGGTCTAAACCAGGTCTAAACCAGGACTAAACCAGGTCTAAACCAGGTCTAAACCAGGTCTAAACCAGGTCTAAACCAGGTCTAAACCAGGTCTAAACCAGGACTAAAGCAGGACTAAAGCAGGACTAAAGCAGGACTAAACCGGTTGTATTTTAAACCCCACACACAGTTTTGTGGCATCATCATGAAAAACACCAATGAGGACAAAGGGGCGGGGCTAAGGGACAAAGGGGCGTGGCTGAGTGCATAAAGGGCGGGGCTCACCTGTCGTCTCCGTCTCCGTCTTGTTGATTTGACACATGTCGATGGTTTTCTTGTGTCTGCGACAGTCGTTCCCACAACCAGGAAAATGAGACAGCACCTGTCACACACACAGGGACACTTCACACACACAGACAGGGACACTTCACACACACACACACAGACAGGGACACTTCACACACACACACACAGACAGGGACACTTCACACACACACACACACAGACAGGGACACTTCACACACACACACAGGGACACTTCACACACACACACACAGGGGACACTCAACACACACACACACAGGGACACTTCACACACACACACACACACACACACACAGGGACACTTCACACACACACACACACTTCACACACACACACACACAGACAGGGACACTTCACACACACACACACACACAGACACTTCACACACACACACACAGTGACCCGGGGTCGGACTCGTACCTCGACGTGGACTTGGCAGCAGGACCAGAAGTGCAGGGAAAAGGAGGGCTGAGTCTGGAACTGTTCTGTAGACAGACAGGTGCACAGACAGGACCATCAGACAGGTGCACAGACAGGACCATCAGACAGGTGCACAGGCAGGCGCAGAGACAGACAGGCGCAGAGACAGGCGCACAGACAGGACAGGAGGCGCAGGCAGGTGCAGACAGGTGCAGAGACACAGACACAGACACAGGACACAGACAGGGCACACAGGTGCAGAGACACACAGGTGCAGAGACAGGCGCACACAGGTGCAGAGACACAGACAGGTGCAGAGACAGGCGCACACAGGTGGAGACACAGACAGGTGCAGAGGCAGTGCAGAGACAGACACAGAGAAAGACAGGTGCAGAGGCAGGTGCAGAGACACACAGGTGCAGAGACACTGACAGTGCAGAGACAGGCGCAGAGGGCACACACAGGTGCAGACAGGTGCAGAGACACAGGTGCAGAGACAGACAGGTGCAGAGGCAGGTGCAGAGGCAGGTGCAGAGGCAGGCGCAGACAGGTGCAGAGACACAGACAGGTGCAGAGGCAGGAGACAGACAGGTGCAGAGACACAGACAGGTGCACAGACACAGACAGGTGCACAGAGACAGAGACAGGTGCAGAGACAGAGACAGGTGAGACACAGTGCAGAGACACAGACAGGTGCAGAGACACAGACAGGTGCAGAGACAGACAGGTGCAGACAGGTGCAGAGGTGCAGAGACAGACAGGTGCAGAGGCAGGTGCAGAGCAGACAGGTGCAGAGACAGACAGGTGCAGAGGCAGGTGCAGAGACACAGACAGGTGCAGAGCAGGTGCAGCAGGTGCAGAGACACAGACAGGTGCAGAGCAGGACAGCAGAGACACAGACAGGTGCAGAGACACAGACACAGACAGGTGCAGAGGCAGGTGCAGAGACACAGACAGGTGCAGACACAGACAGGTGCAGAGGCAGGTGCAGAGACAGGTGCAGAGGCAGGTGCAGAGGCAGGTGCAGAGACACAGACAGGTGCACAGACACAGACAGGTGCAGAGCAGACAGGTGCAGACGCAGCAGGTGCAGACAGACAGGTGCAAGACACAGACAGGTGCAGCAGACAGGTGCAGAGGCAGGTGCAGAGACAGACAGGTGCAGACACAGACAGGTGCAGAAGCAGGTGCAGAGACAGGTGCAGAGACAGACAGGTGCAGACAGACAGGTGCAGACAGAGACAGGTGCAGAGACAGGTGCAGACAGGACAGGTCACAGACAGACAGGTGCAGAGACAGGTGCAGAGCAGGTCAGACAGGTGCAGAGACACAGACAGACAGACAGACAGGTGCAGAGGCAGGTGCAGACAGACAGGTGCAGACACAGACAGCACAGACACAGACAGGTGCAGACAGACAGGTGCAGACACAGACAGGTGCAGACACAGACAGGTGCACAGACACAGACAGGTGCAGCAGACACAGGTGCACACAGACACAGACAGGTGCAGAGACAGGTGCAGAGGCAGGTGCAGACAGGGCAGGTGCAGAGACAGGCTCACCCTGGCTCTGGTTGGTTCTTTCTTGAGGTTCTTGGTCTTGCAGCTCAGAAGAACCAAGTATCGAACAGACAGAGGATCAGGACTGAACTCCACCGTCAGATCAGAACCCGACCGAGACAGAGACAAGTCCGGACTCCACCCGAACCCTGAAACAAGACCAGGACTGAACCAGGACCAAGACCGAACCAGGACCAGAACCGAACCAAAACTGAACCAGGACTAAACCAGGACTAAACCAGTTTTCAGTGTGTCGTTGTGTCCACTAGGGGGCACTGTAACACAAGAAAAGTGCAGCTCTAAAACTCTTGATGACGTCGTTTCTTTTTGGTTTTTTTGGGATCAGTTTTGGGATTTAAAACGTCACAATAAAAACAGAAAGACTGTCGGGGGTCAGACACAGACACTAAAGTTCGGGTTTAAGGGTCGGTCGGTTTCGTTTTAATCTTTTGACGGAGGTTTTTTGGGGCAGACTCACCGGCGTCGATACACGGCTTGGTCCACTTCATCACAGAGTCTGAACAGTCTGAAACACACAGACACAAACACTTCACTTTAACAACAACAACAACAGACCGAACACTCCAGGGACGCAACAGAAAATATAAATCAGAATCTAAGACTGAAAATAGAAACTAGATTCTCATTTTTCACGAGTTTCTCCTGATACGATAAAAATATGATACTAAAAAAAAAAAGTCACATTGAAAAAAAGTAAGAGGGTCAGAGGAGGGTGTTCAGTTTTTTCCCCCTGGAATAAAAAAATATATATATAATAATAATAATAACAATAAATAATATATAAAAAGATAATAATAATAAAAGTAATACAAATAAAAAGAAGAATAAGAAGCTAACAAAAATATAGTTAAAAAAAATAAAAAATAATTCCCCCCAGAAGAAAAATAAAAACTAAATAATAAAATAAATTAATAAAATAAAACACATAAATAATAATATTTAAAACAATAAAATAAAAACAAATAAAAAGAAAAAGCAGATAGTAAAAATATAGTAAAAATAAAATAAAGCAAAAACAAAAATAATACTAAATAAAATAAATATGCTGTTTTTTACCCCCTGCAGTAATAAAGAAAAAGAAAGAAAAAGAAGAAAATAATTAAATAAAAATAAATAAAAATAAAAACTATAATAAGAATAATAAGAATAATAAGAACAATAAGAATAAGAAGAAGAAGAAGAAGAAGGGTCATGGGGTCAGAGGTCCGTACCTGGGACTTTGAGGTTCTGGCTCAGACTGGCCGGGCTGTGGTCCAGTTCTGCTTTGGGGATGTTTTCCACTGAGACTGTGTAGGACTGACCCGGGTCCAGGACCACCACGTCTGAACTCAACGTCCACTGAGGAGACACCACGCACGGTTAGACCGGGTCTGAGTCTCGGGTCTGAGTCTCGGGTCTGAGTCTCGGGTCTGTCTCGGTCTGAGTCTCGGGTCCAGTCTCGCAGTCTCGGGTCTCAGTCTCGGTCTCCGGTCTCGGTCTCAGTCTCGGGTCTCAGTCTCGGGTCTCAGTCTCGGGTCTCTCAGTCTCGGGTCTCAGTCTCGGGTCTCAGTCTCGGGTCTCAGTCTCGGGTCTCAGTCTCGGGTCTCAGTCTCGGGTCTCGGTCTCAGTCTCGGGTCTCAGTCTCGGGTCTCTCAGTCTCGTCTCGGGTCTCAGTCTCGGGTCTCAGTCTCGGGTCTCAGTCGGGTCAGTCCTGGGTCCTGGTCTGGTTCTCTGGTTCTCTGGTCCCCTGGTCTCTGGTCCCCTGGTCTCTGGTCCCCTGGTCTCTGGTCCCCTGGTCTCTGGTCCCTCTGGTCCCCTGGTCCCCTGGTCCCCTGGTCTTGTCCAGGACTGGTGTTAGTCTGGTCTTGGTCTTGGTCCTGGTCCTAGTCCAGTACCTGGTTCCCGCTCAGGTCTTTCGTGGGGAGGGGGTTGTTGAAGGAGTAGCGCACACACAGGTTCTGGTTTGTGGACACGGTGACGACGTGGAGCTCAGACGCTTTTAAAAAATAAATACTCCCTACAACACAGAGAGAACAACCATCAAACACACAGAGAGAACAAAATACTCCCTACAACACAGAGAACATGAAACTGCCTAATACTCGTACTACTCGTACTTGTAGTACTCTTAGTACTTGTAGTACTGTATTACTCGTGTAACAGTTCACCTGTTCTCGACAAACAAAAAGCTACAACTCAAAATGTAGGACGTGGGAGGATCTATTCACACGGGTGAAATAAAGACATGCAAAAAATAAAGTGCTTTTGGTCAATCCGGCTTTTATTGGCATTGCCAGACACACGAGAGAGAGAATGACCACATTAACTAATAAACCCCAAACCCCAAATCACAGTGTAACAAAACAACAAAAGGCCACCACACTTCACCAGAACCGTCCTGAGCGACTTTCCCCCAAAAAGTTCCCAAAGTTTTTACCCCCGCTGACATGAATGGATCCTCCCGCGTCCTTCATTTTGTGTTGTAGTTCTTCCCTTGTCGAGAACAGGTGATTTGTTAGAGTGGTGGCCCGTACGGGGAACGTGGATGAGATTCACATTTATATCAGCGGTAATTTTACAGCAGCTTGTTTTTTTAGCGGGTTTAGACACACTTTTCACATGCACGTTGTCTTACTCCGTTCAGGATCGAACCGAGCCTCACTTATTGTAGCTTTACACACGGTTACACACGGTTACACACGGTTACACACTCACCTATGTTCATTCACGCACAAGTCACAAGTACAACTAAAGCATTTACACATAGTGACATACTTCCAAGCGACACTCACACACACTAAACTGCATTCACACTCAAAAGGAGCATGGAAAACCCCAAAGTTTACTGCGTGAAGCTGATACAGAGGGATGTTTTGAGGACCCCACACCAACTCCTTGACCCCTGTCGCCATGTCACCTCCAGGCAGAATCAAAGCCTTGTATCAGAGCTCACAAGCCAACTGGAGTCAATGTATCTCAACGAGCCTGATCAAGATGCAGCTAACGCCGAGGAGGGGGATGATGAAGATGTGGAGATGGTGATGGAGCAGCTGGATGTTTTAAAGCAGAGGGTCGGTGGCTTGGAGGTCCAACTTAAAGAAGCTGTGGACAGTACTTTATGTAGAGAGGAAGGACTAAGAGCAGCTACGGACAGAACGGCCAGAGAAGCTGAAAGAGTATGTGGACTCTAAGCTGCAACATTTCGATGAGGTAGTTGCCGCTTGCCTCCAACGCAGAGATCAGAGGTGGGCAGAAGAACTAAGAAGGTCTCAGTCCAGAACCCGATCGTCCTGGAGACCTGCTGGTTTCTCCACGCCTGCAGCTGTTGTACCATCTGCTCACCAACCAACTGGAGACGTCACCTTCCCTACTGTCCCTGCTGCCACTGCCCGACCGCCCATTCGCATGGAGTTTCCCCAGTTTGGAGAGTCAAGAAACTCCTCTGATGTCACAGACTTTATTGAACAGTGTGAAAACTTCCTGGTTCTCAGACCACTGAACGATGCAGAGCTGATGGGAACACTCAACGCAGTTCTGGTGCCGATCTAGCCTCTGCCCTGGGCGAGCCGTCCCTCCTGGTCGTTCCCATCCGCCTCCGCGGGTCCAAAGGGGATGTTGTCCTTGACTCAGGTTGCACCTACTCCCTCATGAGCCTCTCGCTGTGGAACGCAGTCAAAAAGGAAGGAGAAGTACTGGCCCCAAGTGAAATCTCGAGGTTTGTCATGGCCAACGGGCAAGAGAACAAAGCACTTGGTAAAGCCACGCTGCTCCTCAACCTGCACGACTTCCACGGCACTCTCGAAGTTCATGTACTGGCCGACAACAACCTGTGCATGCCACTGCTCCACGGGCTTGATTTCATGACTATGTCCCAGATTACCCTGAAGCCACACCTCAGAAGATACATCATGCCTGGTGGGAAGGAGTACACGTTTCTCCCCAAGGCCCGAGTGATGCTTCAGTGGAGTCACAAAGCACCTCCTGTAAACTTTTACGTAGCCGAAACAACCCGACCTGTCATTCCCCTCCTCGAAGCTCAGCCTGAAGTGGTGCGGCCGCTGCTGCAGAAGTGGCCCACTGTTTGGACTGAGACCACCGGTGCCACTCAAGTAAATAAACACAAAATCATAACAACTGACGAAGTGCCGGTGCGAAGAAGGGCAAACAGAGTATCAATACAAAAACAAGCAGTCATCAAAGAACAGATACAACAAATGCTTGAAAACAATGTCACTGAGCCATCCACCTCACCATGGTCCTCACCTGTCGTCCTCACTCCAAGAAAAGATGGGACGCCACGGTTCTGTGTGAACTACAGAGGCTTAAACGCAAAAACCCAGCACGACGCCGATCCCATGCCCCTAATACACGAGATCCTGGAGTCTCGGGAAGGTCAATATTTCAGCTCCCTGGACCTAAAGAGTGGACACTGACAGGAGGCCATGGATGAACAGAGCAAACTCAAGACCACCAAGACCACCCACCTGGGCCTCTTCAGTTTAAAGTCATGCCTTTCGGTCTGGGGCTACTTTCCAACGACTGATGGAGATCGTCTTGGGAAAACTGAGGGGAAAGATCTGGTTCGTGTTGACGACATCATTGTTTTCTCAAAAACACAAGAACAAGTGAAGTGTGGTGGACTTTTAACAGACGGCCTTTTGTTGTTTTGTTACACTGTGATTTGGGGTTTGGGGTTTATTAGTTAATGTGGTCATTCTCTCTCTCGTGTGTCCAATAAAAGCCGGATTGACCAAAAGCACTTTATTTTTTGCATGTCTTTATTTCACCCGTGTGAATAGATCCTCCCACATCCTACATTTTGTGTTGTAGCTTTTCGTTTGTCGAGAACAGGTGAACTGTTACACGTAAGTACTGGTAGTACTGGTAGTACTGGTAGTATTCGTAGTACTTGTAGTACTTGTAGTACTTAGTACTGGTCCTCACCGTCGTCCCTGAGCCTCCAGGTGGCGCTCATCACTGGGAGCAGGTTTCCTCTTTGGTCCGTTTGGGTCGAGATCCTCAGGTCCAAACGGTCCGGACCAGACGGAGTGTAAGAGTGAGACACGAGCCAACCCGGGTCCAGACAGTTACCTACAAGACCAGAACCAGAACTCAACCAGGACTCAAACAGGACTAAACCAGGTCTAAACCTAAACCAGAACCAGGACTAAATAAAAACAAAAGAGACTCACTGACTGTGGCCGAGCAGCTCAGACCCTGAAACACAAAAGAGACAAACACACGTTAATCTCACACTCGTCAGAACACGGGTCCCACCTCGTGATGTCATCGTGTGCTGACACAGGAAGTGCTCCACTGTGTTTTTAAACTCCACACTCCTGCACTAGAATCACCTGGATGTTTTTCAGTCGTGGAGTTTCTTCACTGATCTGAACTGAACTGAACTGAAGGGAAAAGGAGCTGATCACCTGATGACATCACGAGGTGGAGCAGAGCGTTTGGAGTTTTATCGATGGAACAAACTCAGAATAAAACAAACAAACAAACACGACTCGAGCTCCGAGACAAACCAGGAACAACAGAAGAACGTTTGTTTAAATCTCAGAGTTCGTCTGATTCTGGAGTTTTAAAGTTAAAGCTTCATTATGTAACTTTTCTGATGGAGATTCTACTGTTTTACCTGGAATGTTCCAGAGTGCAGCATTAACCCAGAACTAAACCAAAACTAAACCAAAAGTAAACCAGAGCTAACCCAGGACTAAACCAAAACTAAACCAGGACTAAACCAGGACTAAACCAGGACTAAACCAGGACTAAACCAGGACTAAACCAGGTCTAAACCAGGTCTAGACCAGGTCTAGACCAGGTCTAGTCCAGGTCTGGTCCAGGTCTGGTCCAGGTCTGGTCCAGGTCTGGTCCAGGTCTGGTCCAGGTCTAGTCCAGGTCTGGTCCAGGTCTGGTCCAGGTCTGGTCCAGGTCTGGTCCAGGTCTGGTCCAGGTCTCACCTGTTGGGAACAGTTCATGTTGGCTCCGGGCAGGACGTACGCGCTCCTCGCTCCGCTCAACCCGAGAATCAGCGTCAAAAGCGGAACAAGAGCAGCGACAGAGGCCGGGGAGACGCGCCCCATGGTCCCTGGTCCCTGGTCCGGGTTTAGTCCGGGTTTAGTCCCTGGTCCGGTCTTTGGTCCGGTCTTTTGGTTTTTGGACTTGAGCCACGAGGAAGTTTTCGCGTCTTCTCAGCAGAACGAGGAAGAAAAACACTTCCGCCACCTGCTGACGCACGCAGCACGCACGCGCGCGCTCAGGTGTGTGGGAGCACAGGCACGAGCGACACACATGCGCAGTGACGATCAGACGGGACCGGGACTAAACCTGGACCAGGACCAAGACCAGGACCAGGACCAGGACCAGGACCAGGTGTCTCTTTAGTTTTCGGGCACACACAAACTGGACTTAACTAAACTGAGACTAAACCTGGACTAAAACTAGACTAAACCTGAGACTAAAACCGGACTAAACCTGGAATAAAACTGGACTAAACCTGGACTAAAACTGGACTAAACCTGGACTTAACCTGGACTAAAACTGGACTAAACCTGGACTTAAACCGGACTAGCCTAAAACTGGACTAAACCTGGACTTAAACCGGACTAAACCTGGACTAAACCTGGACTTAACCTGGACTAGAATAGGACCAAGAACTGGACTAATACTGGACTAAACCAAGACTAAAACAGGACTAAACCAGGTCTGAACTGGACCCAGAACTGGACTAAAACAGGACTAAAAACCTGGACTAAACCAGAACTACTAAACCAGAACTAAACCTGGACTAAACCCGGAACTAAACCTGGACTTAACCTAGACTAGAATAGGACCAAGAACTGGACCTAGAACTGAAATAATACTGGACTAAACCTGGACTAAAACAGGACTAAACCAGGTCTGAACTGGACCTAGAGCTGGACTAGAACAGGACCAAATCAAGCCTAAATCAGGACTAAACTGGGCTCAAACCAGGACCAGGACCAGGACCCAGACCCAGACCAGGTCCAGGTCCAGGTCCAGGTCCAGGTCCGGCCTTTGTTGTTGGTGTGAAGTTTGCTCATTAAACCCAGGTCCTCGTGTCGATGTTTAAATGTTTGTTTCTGTGTTTTTTGACTGTTTCCTGTCGCCGTCTGCAGGAAGGAAAAACCTGCCCGCCCACGATCTCACCACAAACCTCCGCAAAAAAACAAAAAACCCCAAAAAACATCTCAAGATCTGAACATCTGAACATCTGAACTCTTCGGTCGATCAGGAAATGACTTCAGATCCAGGAGAAGATCAGTTTACTTCTGTCGTGTTCAAGAGGAAAGTTTTACAGGTTCAAGTTCAGAAATGTTTCGTGTGGGAGATAAATCACGAGGGGAGACGAGTTCCTCTGGTTCTGAAAACAAAAACAAACAAAAAAACACAAGAAGAAAAGTCTGGAGTCTTTTCGGTTTTGGTCGTCATGGAAACGGGTTCACGAAAAGTTCCCGTTTCGGCGAAATGACGAAAGTTCAAACGAGGTTTTTTTTTGTGTGAAACTGGGTCAAGTCTGTGAGAGAAAAAAGAACGAGGACAGAGGAGAGAGGACAGAGGAGTGAGGACAGAGGACAGAGGAGTGGAGAGGAGTGAGGACAGAGGAGAGACAGGAGGAGGACAGAGGAGAGAGGACAGAGGAGTGAGGACAGAGGAGTGAGGAGAGGAGAGAGGACAGAGAGAGGAGTGAGGAAGAGGAGTGAGGACGAGAGGAGAGAGGACAGAGAGAGAGGAGTGAGGACAGAGGAGAGAGGACAGAGGAGTGAGGACAGGAGAGAAGAGGGTGGAGGACAGAGGAGAGAGGGACAGAGGGAGTGAGGGAGGAGGGACAGAGGAGGACAGAGGACAAGGAAGAGGACAGAGAGAGAGGACAGAGGAGTGAGAGGAGTGAGGACAGTAGGAGAGAGGACAGGAGGAGGACAGAGGAGTGAGGACAGAGGAGTGAGGACAGAGGAGTGAGGACAGAGGAGAGAGGGAGTGAGGAAGAGGAGTGAGACAGAGAGAGAGGACAGAGGAGTGAGGACAGAGAGAGAGAGAGATGAGGACAGAGAGTGAGGACAGAGAGAGGAGAGGAGTGAGGACAGAGGAGTGAGGACAGAGGAGTGAGGACAGAGGAGAGAGGACAGAGGAGTGAGGACAGAGGAGAGAGGAGTGAGGACAGGAGGACAGAGGAGTGAGGAAGGACAGAGGAGTGAGGACAGAGAGACAGAGGAGTGAGGACAGAGTGAGTGAGGACAGAGAGAGAGGACAGAGGAGTGAGGACAGAGAGGACAGAGGAGTGAGACAGAGGAAGAGAGGACAGAGGAGTGAGGACAGAGGAGAGAGGAGTGAGGACAGAGGAGTGAAGAGAGAGGACAGAGGAGAGAGGACAGAGTGAGGACAGAGGAGTGAGGACAGAGGAGAGAGTGAGGACAGAGGAGTGAGGACAGAGGAGAGGAGACAGAGACAGAGAGTGAGGACAGAGGAGTGAGGACAGAGGACAGAGGAGAGAGGACAGAGGAGTGAGGACAGAGAGTGAGACAGAGGAGTGAGGACAGAGAGAGAGGAGTGAGGACAGAGGAGAGAGAGAGAGGACAGAGGAGTGAGGACAGAGGAGTGAGGACAGAGGACAGAGGAGAGAGAGAGTGAGGACAGAGGAGTGAGGAGGAGAGGACAGAGGAGTGAGGACAGAGGAGTGAGGAGGGAGGACAGAGGAGTGAGGACAGAGGAGTGAGGACAGAGGAGTGAGGACAGTGAGGAGAGAGGACAGAGGAGAGGAGTGAGGACAGAGGAGTGAGGACAGAGGAGGAGAGAGGACAGAGGAGTGAGGACAGAGGAGAGAGGACAGAGGAGACAGAGGAGTGAGGACAGAGGAGTGAGGACAGAGGAGTAGAGGAGAGAGGAGAGAGGAGTGAGGACAGAGGAGTGAGGACAGAGGAGAGAGGAGTGAGGACAGAGGAGTGAGGACAGAGGAGTGAGGACAGAGGGAGAGAGAGGATGAGGACAGAGGTGAGGACAGAGGGAGAGGACAGAGAGTGAGACAGAGGAGTGAGGACAGAGGAGTGAGGAGAGAGGACAGAGGAGAGAGGAGGAGTGAGGACAGAGGAGTGAGGACAGAGGAGAGAGGAGGACAGTTTTCTGAACTGGTCATGTGACTTATCGTCCAAAAAATACATTAATAAAACATAAAACATCAAAGTTTTTAATTCTACTTTTTTATTTTCTATAAATTTAAAATATTTGCAAGTATCACCGAAAATCTTGACTATCAATTAATTTAAAAAATGACCCTTAATCAAATATTTTAACTATTATTTTTAATTAAACACTAAATGTAATTCAACTTGTGCTTGAGTATTCGAGTACTTTTACTACAAATACCACACCTGGAGTAGAAAATAAAAGTTCGTGGAGACGGAGCGAGTCGTGTTTTATTGGGGAGTTTCAGTCAGACACAATCACAGCTTCAAAACACGACAGAAAAAAACAGACGCACAAACAATAAAAAAAAAACAATTTCAAATCAACATTTCATTTTTTTGGAATAAAACTCGACCCTGTTTCAAAAAACACGTCACATGTTTCCGTCTCCACGCTCCTTTTGTTGGTTTAAAAACGTTTTATTCGCCCAAAACAACAGAACAGAGCCCAGGAGAGATCTCTAGATGACTCAGACTTGCATGGAAGAGTCTAGAAGCTCCTGGACACGTTTGTGACGAGAAAAAACATTAAAACATGAGAGAAAATTCCAAAAAAGAAAAACCCTGCATAATACTCCCTTTAATTTGAAGAAAATAAATCCCAGATTTTAATCCCACGATAAATAAAAAGTGAAATAAAGTTTTGTTAAATAAAGTTCTGTGTTTTTAGAAGCTTCAGCAGCAAAAAGTTTAAAAGAAAAAAACATCACAAAGAAAAAAAAAAGAGACGAACACCAGTTTGACACAAAACCAGGACTGAAAACAGACCTGGTCTAGACCTGGTTTAGTCTTGGTTTAGTCTTGGTCTAGTCTTGGTTCAGTCCTGGTTTAGACCCAGTTTAGACCCGGTTTTAACCTGTTTTAGTCCTGGTTTAGTCCTGGTTTAGAGTCCTGGTTTAGTCTGGTTTAGACCTGGTTTAGTCCTGGTTTAGACCTGGTTTATTTAGTCCTGGTTTAGTCCTGGTTTAGACCTAGACTGGTTTAGTCCTGGTTTAGTCCTGGTTTAGACCTGGTTTAGTCCTGGTTTAGTCCTGGTTCAGTCCTGGTTCAGTCCTGACGGTTCGAGTCCTGGTTTAGACCTGGTTTAGTCCTGGTTTAGTCCTGGTTTAAGTCCTGTTTAGTCCTGGTTTAGTCCTGGTTCAGTCCTGAGTCCTGATCCTGGTTTAGTCCTGGTTAGACTGTTTAGTCCTGGTTTAGTCCTGGTTTAGTCCTGGTTTAGACCTGGTTTAGTCCTGGTTTAGACCTGATTGAGTCCTGGTTTAAACCTGTTTTAGTCCTGGTTTAGACCAGATTGAGTCCTGGTTTAGACCTGGTTTAGTCCTGGTTTAGTCCTGGATTTAGTCCTGGTTTAGTCCTGGTTTAGAGTTGGAGACTGGTTAGTCCTGGTTTTTAGACCTGGTTTAGACCTGGTTTAGACCTGGTTTAGTCCTGGTTTAGTTTAGACCCTGGTTTAGTCCTGGTTTAGTCCTGGTTTAGTCCTGAGGTTTAGTCCTGGTTTAGTCCTGGTTAGTCCTGGTTTAGACCTGGTTCAGTCCTGGTTTAGACTCAGTTTAGACCTGGTTTAGACCTGGTTTAGTCCTGGTTTAGTCCTGGTTCAGTCCTGATGAGTCCTGGTTTAGACTGGTTTAGTCCTGGTTTAAACCTGTTTAGTCCTGGTTTAGACCAGATTGAGTCCCTGGTTTTAGACCTGGTTTAGTCCTGGTTTAGTCCTGGTTAGTGGTTAGTCTGGTTTAGTCCTGGTTTAGACCTGGTTCAGTCCTGGTTTAGACTCAGTTTAGACCTGGTTTAGACCTGGTTTAGTCCTGGTTTCAGTCCTGATCGAGTCCTGATCGAGTCCTGGTTTAGACCTGGTTTATGTCCTGGTTTAGTCCTGGTTTAGTCCTGGTTTAGACCTGGTTTAGTCCTGGTTTAGACCTGGTTAGTCCTGGTTTAGACCGGTTTAGACCTGGTTTAGTCCTGGTTTAGTCTGGTTTAGACCTGGTTTAGACCTGGTTTCTGGTTTAGACCTGGTTTAGACTCAGTTTAGACCTGGTTTCAGTTCCTGGTCCTGTTAGATTTAGACTGGTTTAGACCTGGTTCTGTCCTGGTTTAGACCCAGTTTAGACCTGGTTTAGTCCTGGTTTAACCTGATTTAGTCCTGGTTTAGTCCTGGTTTAGACCTGGTTTCAGTCCTGGTTTAGACCCAGTTTAGACCAGTTTAGTCCTGGTTTAGTCCTGGTTTAGTCCTGGTTTAGTCCTGGTTCAGTCCTGGTTTGTGGTTCAGTCCTGGTTTAGACCCCAGTGGTTAGACCTGGTTTAGTCCTGGTTTAGACCTGATTTAGTCCTGGTTTAGTCTGATTTAGACCTGGTTTAG